TTTAACTCATATGAGAAATTTATTGTTTTAGGATGGTTATTAAAAGACTAAGTCCACATTATGTTGATTCATTTGTTTATTCTGTGACTACTGACCATGGAAACAGCAGTGAGACAGACAGGGTTCCTGCCTTTTTGCAGTGCCAATTCCAGAGGGGAAAGAGGGCACAGTAACAACTGCACTGAGACCACCCCAAGGTACACGGAGAATGACGACGCCCCGCACGCACTGAGCACTGACCACGCACCAGTCCCTTCCCGCCTACTCTCACAGCGCCCCTCGGACGCGGGGTCCCTTATTGCCCCCAGTTATGGACCAAGAGGCTCTGGCTCAGAAGGTCAAGCCGCCTGCACAAGCGCACACAGCCTTGTAAGCAGAGGAACAAAGATTCGATTCCTTCTGTCTGGCTGCTGAGTGGACACAAAAAGTATTCAGATAATTACCAGAGTGTGATAAGGGCGGGGGCGGGAAACTCACTTTTCACTTAATACAATATCATTTTGCCATCTTTGACGTGTTTGGTATGTTACGTGTTTTTCTCACAGTGTGTGTGTACCCCTCTTCCGACCCAAAGATGTAAACATCCCCAGTTCACGCTTTGGAGACATAGTACATGTTTTCATAATACAAGATACACACATACATACATATATACACATATACATACTGTGTGTATCACATCTGACTCAGCCATGTAAACACCCAAAGATCATATTTTGGGGATATATTTCATATTATTTTCTTTTTAAAGATTTTATTTATTTTTAGAGAAAGGGAGAGAAACCTCAGTGTGTGGTTGCCTCTCACGCGCCCTCAACTAGGGACCTGGCCAGCAACCTAGGCATGTGCCGTGACTGGGAATCCAACCGGTGACCCTTTGGTTTGCAGGTCGGTGCTCAATCCACTGAGCCAATGCAGCCAGGGCGTATTTCATATTCTTAATGGAGACAAGGCCACAGAACATTTCAAAGGTCATTTAACTGAGCAGTTGACAAAGGCAGCCATGATAACTATTTCCCACAGGTCACGTGTAACCCTCTCACTTTGCCGTGCCCCTCCCTGCCTCCCATCCGATGAACCAGAGTCCTGGGGCGTGGACTCCTGAGGACAGGGGCCCTTCTGACTTGCCCAGAGGTAAGATGCTCTGTCAATACTCATCACAGCGAAGGAAAACAGTGTGTGTGCGCATGCGTCTCTCAGTTCCAAGTCTGTGGACTTCCTTTTAAATGATGGCAATTTGACAAGTGTAGCAGGAGGGAATGGGAGGGCCACTCGAAGCAAATCAACAGTCCCCAAAACACTTATCACCTGGGTCTGTCATGAAGCATTTTGAAAAGAACAAAATAAAATAAAAAAATAAAATTGTAAAAAGCGCTTTGGCCAGAGCCAGGCACCTGTAAAGGGTTCAGTGAAAAGTGGCAGCTCTGCTGCATTAAGTGCTTTTCCCACGTTCTCTCCCATCCTCCCATTTCCCAGAAGAAGAAACTGAGGTTCCAGGAGGGAAGTGGTTCCTACAGTCTGGACGGGTGACTGTGGGAAGGAACGTGACCTCCTGGACAAGGGTCTTCCCTCCACCCTGGTCTCGGTCCTGACCCGAGCCTGCGACAGCCCTCCTGTCTGGGTATTTAGGGAGCGGCTGGGACATGTAAGGAGAATTCCGGGTACTCCAATTAGCATGCAGTTCTCCAAAGGAGCTCTGCCCCTGCTGCTGTTTCTGCCTGGATTGTTCCTTCTCCTCCCTGGCCTCTTCCTTCTTCTCCTTTAAGACTCAGGTCAGGTGTCACGTGTGGCCACTCCCTCCACACGCCCAGGCTGGGAGAGGGACCACCTGCCTGACACACGTCCTGAAGACAGGCTGATGATACTCATACCCATCACTCAGCAAGCACAGCCCAGTATGGACACAGTATTTCCACACACTGGTTCACTGAGCTTATAGAACAAGACGCTGAGGGAGGGAGGAGCCTATCCTGAGCCCATTTTACAGATGAGAAAAACCGAGTCTCAAAACAAGTACCATGCCCAAGACCACAGCCAGGACAGGGCAGGGCCAGGGTTTGGCCCCAAATCTCCCTGGCTGGCTCCCCCTTCTTCCCACCCCTGCCTTCTCCAGGAAGCCTCCCTGGATTTATCCCTGCTGCTGCCAGACTCACCCTCACTGACTCCAAACATCCACAAGCTGCAAACTGAGAGAGTGTTCAAACCTGCTCTCTGCCAAGGCTGGCTGGTGAAGACCTCCCACACCACGGAGCCCCACCCTGCACCCAGGAAGTATGGGGTCCCTGAGGATCTGGAGGTCTGTGCCCCTCCCTGGGCAGGCAGACCGTAAGTGCTCAGGAAGGTTTACCCAATGGAATAAAATACTGACACTTAGAATAATGAAGCCACCTCCCCTGGGGGGTTTCCTTCTCCAGATAAAAGGCTGGGCCTCCCGAGGGCTCTTCAGAGGAGTGGCTCTCTAAACAGAACCCTGGTCTCTATCCAAGTCTGGTCCACCGTGACCTCTCACCTGGATTTTTCTAGCAGCCTCTGCACTGGCCTCTCAGTTTCCTCTCGAACCCTGTCCCAGCCAGCCTCCCACAATGGCGGGGCGAGCTTCCGAAACACAGATCTGACCTCGTCCCCCTCCTGCAGGGCACCCTCGACGCTGCCCCTGGACAAAGTCCAAACCCCTGAGAATGGCCCCTGTCTGCCAGCACCCCATGCTCCCTCCTACAGCCAGGCCGGTCTGTTTCTCTTCCTGCCCATAACACCCCCTCTTTCCACTGCAAGCCCTCCAACAAACCACCACTCCTGACCTCTCCCCAGCTCAGGCCAGAAGGCATCGGCCCCTCCCCCCATTACGACTCTCATCTGGACAACTGCCTCTTTTCACAAAGGCGTGACCCCTCCCTTAAGGACATGATTGCCCGTGTCTTGAAATACTTGTTGAATGAGTGCACGAATGAATGAGTGAATGAACATTTAAACTGCTCTTCGGGGGCTCTTTTTCTCAGTTGGTTGGAGATGTGTTCAGGTGATGCTGACAGAGGAGAAATGTCAGGGCCAGACAGTGGGCTGCTCCAATCTCCTGCCAAGGTCGGCCCTGAATAAAAGCCAGCCTCCCCCGGACCTCCAAGGGGAATGAGGCCCCTGCAGCCTCAGAATCTGGGCAAGGGCTGCACCCCCAACATCGAGAGCCAGCACAGCTGACTGTAGCTGACTGCCCCATAGCTAGAACGTAAAGGCAGGAGAACAGGTCTTCCACTGCCCTGGGTCATACCACTTCTGTAGTGCTGGCCACATAGTAGGTCCCCCCCCCCACACACATATGACTGAGTCAGCCAGGTCACGTACCCAGCTAAAACATGTGCCTTGACACCGTCCTAAAACCTGGCACTTCTCTTGGGTAACTGCACCCTTGTCAAGCAGGCAAATCTTTTAAAAAGGGTTCCCCTAAAACCACCAAGACCAGGGCTGGTGCCTGCCCAGCTCCCCCAGAACTATCCAGTGCTGAGATGCCAGCATCTGGGGGTGAACACAATTTGTCCAGGAGCCTGATGGATTAGCAAAGGGAAAGTTGAGCTAAGGGAGAAGCCTTGTCCAAAAGCCCTGGTTACTGATTAGCCAAACCCCAGAGCTTCTCTCTGCAAGGAGGTGGGTGGGAGTGCAGAGGAACAATTAACCCCTTTGGAAGATGGAGTTAGGCATCTCTCTAAGCCTGCAGTTTAAAAAGGCAGGGGTCCCTGGAGCCTGCCCTCAGATGCTGCCAAGAAGTACAGGGGCTGGGATGTGGAAAAGGAGGGGCCACAAATGAGGGCCCACGAGTAGTTGCAGAGTCCCTACCTGTACCGTTCGTATCACCCCTACTAATCCTGCCAGCCAAATAAGAGGATGGGTTGTGATCCCCACTCTTGCCCCAGTTTGCCCAGAGGGGAGACCTGGGCTTAGATAGGTTGTTTTGCCCAAGGTCACAAAGAATCTGCAAAGAAAAAGCTCTTTCTTTGTGCAACAGGTAATAGCCCTTTCCTTTCCAAACATAATGGCTGCTCCCGGCTAGAGAAAGTTCACAGCTGCACCACCTAGGTGGCTTGCGGGGGTCACAGGCTCCACTCAGACACTCAGAGCGGGGTTTCAGGGCGAGGTGCCCCAGCTCCTAGGTGAGTGTATACCAGGAGAGTGTGGAAAGGTCAGGTTCGGATGGGGGTCAGTGGGTTACTTCCCTTCCCAAGCGCCCCGCCTATAGCCCCAGGCGGTGCCACCAGCAGGGTGGGGACAAACCTAGCCCACCTGGGAGCCGGGGAGACTGAGCCCTACACCCATCAAGGTGCCTCTGCCCTGGGAAGGCGTGTGGAGCGGAGCGCAGGCCAGGCGGGCAGGGCTCATCCACAGCCCGGGTGCCCCAGGGCTCAGCGCGCAGTTCTCTCCACCACCCTTGCTGCCCGCAGAATCCTTTTGCCCGGGGCTCCGCTTCGCTCCTTACCCCGCACGTCCACCTCCGGGGCCTCCAACCCACACCGACATCCAGATCCTAGAAGCTCTGAGCTAGGTACCCCGGATCTCCAGCGATTCCTTCAGCTCCCGACCACCACACTTCCCCTTGGATCAGCGTCGGGGGCGGGGCGGGGAGGGGGGCAGAAAGAGATACCAGTTCCTAGTATACAGTCACCGTCCACTGTCACCTCCAGGCTAGGAGTGAGTGAGACTCCGGGCCGCCAGCGCCCGATCCCCTCTTGGGATCTTCAGCCCGGTGGCGCGGGATCTTCCCGCGGGATCCACTCCCAAGTCTCGGGAGACAGATTTCCCGGCTCCCAAATCGGGATTCCCCCCTCCCGGCAGACCCCGAGCCCGGGGAGATCCCCGCCTCTTCCCCGACCAACTTTGCCAACTTTTCTCACGGGGCCTCAGCCTAGCAAAAACTTGGCGGCCACCGCCAGTCACCGCCTCGCCAGCCCCTTCGAGAACCCGGGACAGGGGGCATAGGGCCGGCCCCCACCCCCTGCGGCCGCCGTGCAACCTACCCTGGTGCCTCCTTCAACGCTGGCCCGCGCCGCGCCGCCACCTGCCCGCAGCTCGCCGCACCTGCCCTCGCCGCCCGCGGTCCCGCGCAGCCTAGCCTGCTGGGGGCGGGGCCTCGGGCGGGGAAGCGCCCCCCCGTTGCTATGGGAACCGCGGCTGGCAGCGCCTGCGCGGAGGGTGCCGGGGCGGAGCAGGGCCGTTTGGACCCTCGTCCGCCCCGGCTGAGGGGGCCAGAAAGAGGTCGGGAGAGTCAAAGGTCGCGAGACCTCCTGGGACACTCCTTCCGGAAGCCCTCCCCAAACCGGTCCAAAACCTCCTGAACGTGCGGTGCCTAACTTGGAATGTTGTTCGACGTCCCCGTCCGCGTTCCTCGGGCGATCCCCAGACCCTGACCAGGATCCACCGCAACGGACACCGACCCGCCTCCGGGTCTGCTCCTCCAAGAGCCTAAAATAGCAGCCGAGGACCTCAGGAGGCGCTCGGTAAAGTCTCACCCATTGAACTGCTTGGCCTGCAAGTGCCTATCGGGGAGCGAGTGAGGCCTGCGTGATGCGCTGGCGCCCTCTCGCGGAGAGCGGGGGACTGCACGCAGGGCTGGGGGCCTGTAGGCTCCGTTGTCTGCTGTATGCCAGTCACTGCTATGGTGTTGAGGTGGCAGCTGAGCGAGGAGGCGTGTAGATTTTTGGACAAGTTGAGAGACTCAAAGGAAGTCGCTCTTGAACGGAAAACGCCTGCTTTGTCATCCTTTACTCATTTCATTCCATAGATCTTTATTAAGCACCTACTGTATGCTGGGTGCTGGGGACACAGAAGTGAAGCAGCCTGGAAGAAGCAGGCTCTGGTGGAGTTTACAGACATCATAAACAATAACTGCAAAGATTAACTGCATTTGTGACACGTGTTCCTAGGGAAACATATGGAGTGTGAATAATCGAAGGACCTAAAATCATATGTGCATTTATTCTCAGTTTACAGCTCAATAAAGTTAGAGAAGGGGGAAACCTCACAGTGTGTGGCTACAGAATGACAGGAAGCTCTCTTACCTCGTGTGTGTGTGTGTGTGTGTGTGTGTGTAAAGGGAACTGTTACCAGAGATACACACCATATCCATTGTTTCACTGAATCTGCACAGCCCACCTTTTGAAGTCACAGTCACCAGCCCCCTTTCACTGGGGAGCAACCTGTGTCTCCCTAAGATAGGGTGTCAAACTCATTTTCACCAGGGGCCATATTGGCTTTGTGGTTGCCTTCAAAGGGCTGAATATAATTTTAGGGCTGTATGAATGTAACTGTTCCTTAATCAGGGGCAAGGACCTCGGTTGCTGCTGCCAGGTAGAAACAAGGTGCCAGGCCGGATAAAACAAGGTGGAGGGGTGGATTCGGCCCGCGGGCCTGGTGTTTGCTGTGCCCCAAGAGACTCACCAGGAATGGTGGGCTTGAGGCTCCATTGGGTCCGATGCCAGGATAACGTCCATGTGGCAGGAGACAGAGAATAGTCGGACTGAAAGTCAGACTCCCTCTAGCTCCACCTGTAAGCTGGGCAAAGGCCAGCCGAGTCATTGTCTGCCGTCCACTGCCCTCTCTAGAGCTCCTGTATTCACAGTGCCCAGCACAGGGCTTCCCACGCAGTACTCGCTGGCTAAAGACTGAGTGCAGAAAGATAGAGGGTTAAATGCATGAATGACCAACAGCTGATGGAGTGCCTCTGCTACCTCTCCTCCCTAACCTCCTGGCAACTCCTGTCTTGCCTGGGAAAAGCCCAATCAACCTGAATGTGTGGGCTGAGGACTCTGTTTAACTGAGTGTTCTATGTCTCAGCTCTGCAGCCGACTTAGTCTACCTTGGCATCTCCTCTCTGTCTCAGAATTTAAGCACGGAAGGGGAGAAGATAGCCTTCCTCCTGCCATCACACCCTGCAGAACCCCCAAACCCGGATGAGTTCCCAGCCCTGACCAGCCCAGCCCCAACAACTCTACTTCCCCCAAGATGCCTAGGCCCAGTGTCAACGCTTCTACCCTTGTCAAGCTTCAAGGGGTGTCAAACTACAATTCCCATAGTCCTCCTAGCCCCAGAAAAGGCAGGACTTCCTGGCTCAGTCCCGCCTTAGGTGATTCCCCTGGCATTCCTGTGTCCTCCCTCCCAGGTGTGACTCCCAGCCAGCACACACTCAGAGATTATACTCTGACCAAAGAGGTGTCGGGTTGTACAGTGTTTCCAGAGCCAATACCCCACCCCTATTCCCAGGCCTGGCTTTTCTCTTCCTGAGGATAGAGAACAGTGCCACCCAGAGACTCTCCCAGAGCCCCTTCTCTGCCATCTTTTACCCCCTCCTCCAGGAAGCCTGTCCTGATTTGGCTGCCTGTTCTCAGACTTGCAAGCAGCTCTGTCCAACAGCGCTTTGTGCAACGATGGAGATGTTTGACGTCTGTACTGTAACATTAGCCACAGATGACTACCGAGCATTTGAAATGCGGCCAATGCGACTGAAGAACTGCATTTGAAATTTCATTCCATTTTAATTAATTTAAATCTAAACAGCCATGTGTGGCTGTGGTTACCATATTGAACAGCACGGCTCTAGAGCCCACACGCTCCTTGACGAAGGCCACATTTGTGCACTTTGGGTAATGAGAGCCAACGCAGTCTTTGAAAAGTTTTTCCCAACACCAGACTCTTGCCTATGTCATGCCCTCATTCTGGAACACTTCACCCTCCGCTGGCCCATCATCTGTCAGGACTACACATCCTTTAGCTCTGAGCTTGAAGAAGGCGCCCCCTGCTGTTCCTGACCACCACGCCGCAGCCCCTGAATCTTCCAATACCAATGACGCTGTACTGTTGTTGCCCAATTACTTCTCTGTCTTGCTTTCTAGACTGTGAGCAGCAAGAGTCTAGACTTGGGAGCAAAGACTAGCCTAGAACCTGAAACAGAGTTGACACTCAATGAATGTTCATGAAATGCAGCGTTGAATAAATGTTGTCACATGATACCATCCAGCTAATGAAATGTATCAATCCAAGTATTGTATCAATCCAATGAAATGTATTGATCCAAGTATTTGCCTGCGATGTCTCATTAAACACCACAATAGTCTTCTGACAGATGCTTCTATTATTTTCTAAAGGTTTATTTTAGAGAGAGGGAAAGGGAAAGAGGGAAAGAAACACCAATGTGTGGTTGCCTCTCATGCACCCCCCTTCTGAAGGCCCAGCTTGCAACCCAGATATGGGTCCTGACTGGGAATTGAACCCGCGACCCTTTGGTTCACAGGCCCGCTCTCAATCCACTAAGCTACACCAGCCAGGACCTAGATGCTTCTCTTATGATCTCCTTTTAGAGATGAGAGATCTGAAGCTTAGAGAGGTTAAGTAAATTGCTCAGGGTCACACAGCCTGGGTTCCCCCAGAAAACAGAGCCTGAGGCAAAACTTCTGTGCTGATGCTTTACTGGACATGTAATTGGCCCAACAAAAATGCAGGAAAAGGGACTTCGAGGCAAGAAAGGAGGAAAAGCAAACTCGAAACATACGGAGTTGGCCACAACGTCTCCAAAACAACACACCCAGAAGGCTCTCTGCAGAAGCCACTTTTTGAGAAACATGGCAGGTATAGGGCAAAAACTTCATCTTCATCTGCCGTGTGCTGCGTCTCCCGTGTGCTGTTTTCCACAGTCGGGCCCAACTGTTCCGCACTTCTGGGTTCTGACACCAGAGCCTCTGGGCAGCCACGAGGGATGGCAGCTTCTTCATGGGAGTCTAGAGGAGGAGGCACCACCACAGGCCCTCCCCTCCCCGAGCAAGAGTCTGGTCAGGGCGGCTGGGATAACCACTGAGGAAGTCGGGGACCGGGCCACAACTCAGGCCATGTCACTGGAGGGTGAGTTGGTCATGGGGCTGCAGCAGCTGGCCCAGGTCGCCTGCAGTGTCCGGTGCCGCACAGGATGCAGCTGAGCGCAGCTGAAAAGGGGCATCAGTCGCGCCTGATGCAGCCAGTGGGGCTCCGACTGGAATCAGACCCAGTTCCCACTAACTCCAAAGCTCCCGGACAAACGTGGATGGAAAGGAAACGATGACTGACTGAATGAATGGGGAAAACCCTGGCAATCACCTATTCCAGGTGTCCTCGTTTTACAGGTGGTGAAACTGAGGCCCGGAGAGGCTGAGATGCCCTCGCCAAGGTCACACGGTATGTGGCTGGCAGAGCTGTGACTTGAGCCCCACCCCAGGCTTCACTGGACCCTCCTGATTCTCACTGCACCAACCAGCATGTGCTGGTTGGTCACGCCAGCATTTCTAGTGGCACCTCTAGTTCTCACCAGCCAGCACCCAGCCCTCACCCTCTGCTAACAGCACCTCAGTTTTCCTCCTAGAACCACCCCATCCCCCACCTTCACTCCATACAGTTCCAGTGGGGTGAACCTCCAGACATCCCTACCCTCACCCACCAATCCTAGGATACAGGACCTAAGTCTGGCTAATCAGAACACTCCATTTCCATGGCCACAGTGATTGGCTCGCAGGTGGGCACATGATCCAAGTTTGGCCAATGAGAGTTCATCACATAGTTTGTTGCAACTGCGTGCAGAGGACCAGAGGAGCAGCCCCCTACCTTCAACCTGGGGTTGCTAAGCCTGGGGAGGTGAGCCTGGAGCCACCAGAGGCCAACTCTGAGACAGAATGTGCCAGAGAGTGAAGCCAACCCAGCACAAAACAGTGGAGAGAGGGAGAGGGGGTTCCTCAGACATTGCCGAAAGCTGTACCGTAACACGTTCCCTTCTGTAACCCGATGCATTCCTGCTCGAGCCAGTTGGAGGTTGCCCTTCCAAAATGTACAACAAAACACAAACAAGCACCCACTCTGTGCCGTGCCCGACGCTGGATGCTGGGATAAAGATTTTTTCAGACTCAGTGCCCATCACTCTCCGGAAGCCCACAGCCTGCAGGGAGGATCCTCTGGAGCCAGAGAAACACAGATCTGCTCCCGGGCAGAGAGGTAGAGAGCAAGTGTGGTGGCAAGAAGGGTCACCCCCAGGGAGTCGCTGCAGCTCTGTAATTCCTATTCGGGCCTTCTCCTGCCCAGGGAACACCACACCCTCACTCCGTGTGATCTGTGGCTCGCTTTTCTGTCTCTGTACAGCTTGCTGACTTAAGGAACGAGGAAGAAATACTCACACCCACGCAGAGCTTATCACACACCTGGACTTTGCTCACCAACCTGAGTGTCTCCTTCAAAGGGAGGGAGGCATCTTACCAGGTCACAGACTTGAGCCTAACACCGGAGCCCGAGCAGAAGAGGCCATGTAAGAGGGTCCTCACCTGCAGTGTGGTGAGTACAGAAGGAGGACGGGTCAGAGGTCAGGAGGGAGCAGAGAGGAAGCTACTAACCAGGGGCCATCATGGGCCCCTGAGATTACTTTCACTCTTTGTGTGTGGCTGCAGCCGCCGCGGGGGTGGCTGCCCAGGCAGCCCCAGGAAACCGCTGGGGTATTTGACTTTTAACCTCACCCTTTAGGGCTTAGGGTCCAACTGGGAGGCCGATTCCCTGAGTATAAGTCCCTAGCCCACCACTGGCTTTGGTGGGTGTAAAATTAGCCTTCATTTTGTCGTCTGTCTAATGGGAACTATGGTGACGGGACTTACCACCCAGAAGCCACGGCGCTTATATGGAACGAGGTACGCCAAGTGTTTAGCATGGCACTTGGTGAGCACTCAAGAACTGCCGACCCCCATCCACGGGTCACACTGGGCTGGACAAGAAAATAGTCAGTCCCTTGCAAGCTCCCCTGAGCAGGATCCCAGCTAATTGGGGCCTGGCCGGATGTGGTTTTGGGTTATAATACCTCATTTAGCTTCCCGGGCACCTGGACGGTCGGCGTGATTTTCCCAGGTGACATTGAGCACATTATCTGGAGAACAAAACTCCTTTCAAGGTCAGAAACGCCCCGAGAGCCACTGGGGCGGCCAGAGAGGCAAAACCACAGGCCTCCGTCGGCTCCGGGCTCCCCGGCTTCCTGGCTGGAATTACACCCCTTGGCATCCTGCCAAACCCCAAGGACAGGCTGATTTGGGTGGAGGAAGGGGGAAAAAATCCATCTTCCCTCATTCAAAGGGCCACATCTCACTTGCTGGATAGCAGCCATGAGGTTATTTTCATCCTGGGAATAAAAAGTCTGCCATGTAACCTTGGCCTACCCGCCAGGCATCTCTCTCCCGCCCCCTGCAACCCACACGCGATTTCACCCCCTTTACCCTTCACAACCACCCCACCCCCATTTTCCGGAGATCTGAGGGGACATCCCCAAGGTTGTAGTGCTGGGAAGGGGAGGGTGTGGCCTGTCTCCTTCTCTCTACAAAATCACCCTGCCCAGTGACTGAGGCCAAGGCCACCTGCCCCTTGGGATTTCTAATCTGCTTTCACAGGTGGAGAAACTGAGGCCCAGAGGAATGTGGCAACTTGTCACAGTCACGCAGGTGGGAAATGGTAGAATGAGTGGCCAGCCTCCGAGCCCAGGGTTCCTGCCATGTTTAAAGTGCTGGCCAGGCTTAGCGTCCCAAAGTGAAACCAAGGTTGAAAAGGACTGGCCCTGGGAAGTCTGCATAGGTGCCCTTGGCTGGGCTGGCAGCTCAGCTGCTTTTGACCTTGGGTGCCCTTGGGTAGGCTCAACCCTCCGGGCTCACTCCTGGCTATCAGTGACAGCGTGGGCATACCACCTTCCTGCCACCTCTATGATGGCACAGGCAAACCTTCCAACTGACTCGCTTTTTCATTAAAATAAATTTTCATTGTAAATGGACAGCCAGTATCGTGCCAACAAATAAAACAAAATCACCACGGCGAGTACAAGGAAAACCCCACTGCGGTTTCAGAGTCTCACCGGACTCTGTTGTCTGCTCAGGGAGCCCATCTTTTTTAAAGGGAGAAGTTGCCAGATAGCTGAGAGGTGTTTAAGGCCCATCAGCTTCAACAGAGACTTTGTCTCTCACGTGGAGAGGGGCTGAAGAAGTGAAAATGAAGCAATTCTGGCTTCTTATGGTTGAGTGGCACTGAAGGCTGGGTCCAGGTGCCCCCGAGGCTCTCCCGTGAGGACCACCGACGCACCATGGCGTCCTTGGGCTTCATTTGAAAAGCTCTATAGAGTGGTTACTCCCAGAAGCCCTTGCAGTGCTAGGTTACATCCTAAACCCTTTGCGTGCGTTGACGTGTGCTGGAGGGGCTGCATGTGGCTATGGAGAGTTCTAAAACCTGGGGTTTCTGCTTCCAGAGCTTGTCAGGCCAAACCCTCTCCACACCAGCTGTTAGCATCTCCCATTGCATCACGAGGTTGAAGGGAGGCTGATGACCGGGGGCGTGAACACAGAACCTGATCCCCTGGCTGCAGGGTGGGGGCACCTTGGAAGCCCCCATTTCTCTGCTTGCTCCGGAAGTCTCCACCACTGACCTTGCTCGGCGACCCCCAGGTTACTGACACTCCGTGATGGGGGCCAGCGTGTGGGCAGCTCTGGGACTCTCCCTGACCTGCATCTCGGCCCTTAGCCTCGTCTCCCCTGCCTGGTTCCAGAGCCCCACCTTCTCCTTTGGTGTCCTCACCTACTGCTCCTGGCCTCAGGCTGACAGCTGGAACCAGAGCTGTGGGACCTTCGGGTCCCTGGATGATATTCCTAACTTTGCCTGGAAGGTGAGTCCTCAGCTCAATTCACTGGGACCTTGGGGACACTATCAATACCACGAGAGCAAAACAAAGCCAAGTTCTGCACCACCAACCCCAACCTGAGCCTATGACTCTGTAGGTGTGGGGCGGGGTCTGGCTATCTGCATGTTAGCAACCCCCCAGGATGTCTGTAAAAGCAGCTATCAAGCCATAGAGCACCTTTGCACAAATTTAGAAAAGGTGCCCCTTCTCCAAGACGCTATACTTCCATCAACACGGCACATCTATGACGATCTCAATGCATCTTAGAGCGGCACAGCATATATAACCTGCGCCCACCTACCTGGCCTCCCTCTAAGCACCACGAGGTTGGGAAACCACAGCTAAGCTGTCGGAAGGCTCTGTTAATGATGCACATTACCAAATTCGACAGTGGGGACAATGGGTCAGGACTCCCACTCCAATACCTCTAAGGAGGATTTTTGCAGCCTTCAAAACTCATCATGACGAAGGTGCCTCTCCTGGTGACCCCGCCTTATAGCAGGTAGTCACTATAGGTAGAATATGGTGGTCATGGATCTATACCTTAATCCTGGCTCTCCTACTTAATTAGTGGTGCATCCTGAGGCAAATGGCTCCACCTCCCCGAGCCTCAGTCTGTTGACATGGAAAATGGGGATAATAATCGCACAGACCTCACGGGGTTTCCAGAACTCAGTAGTTGGTGGGTAAGCAGCGGACGCAGCCTTCTACCCAAGCCCCACTCAACACCTTCTCTCCTCTCTCTTCCCGTAAGGCTGCAGCTGCGCTTCTCCTTGGAGGCTGGCTCCTGTTGGCCTTCAATGCAATTGTCCTTCTGTCCTGGGCCCTGGCCCCCAAGGAGCTGTGCCGGAGGAGGGGCGGCAGCAAAACACTGGGGGTGCAGGCAGCTGCAGGTAAATCCACTGTCACCTGTAAGCATCTCGGACATGTTTTGGGGAGTGAATGAATGATGAATGAAAGGAGAAAAAACCTGTGAGCAGAGTCTGGCCTCATGGGTCCAATCTCAGAGATAAACCCAAGGATGGCAGATTATTCCTGGCCCTTCAGCACGCCAGAAATGGGGGCAGGGAGGGAATGATATCTTTAACATCACCCTCACCTGCCCTTAGCTAAGCCCAGTCCTAACAGTCTGGCCCCCTTTATTTCTCTCCTGTCTGCTTTGCATCATCCCTTCCTGGACCACCCCACACCACTGGGCAGGTTGTGCACTGTACCAGGGTGCCCAGCTGAGGGCTGGGGGGCTGAAATCTAGCCTATGCTCCCCCTGCTGAGCTGTGGGGTTGCATCTGCCCTGAAGGGCTGCTTTTCTCTAATGCACACCTAGTGTCTGGACAGTCTAGCCCGGGCCTTGATGGCAAAGCATCCCAGCTAATTCCCCATCCCTCACCTGGACTGGAACAACAGCCACCTGTCTCCCTGCTGCCACCTTTGCCCCTTAGAATCTGTTCGCCACGCCCTGTCCAAATGGGTCCCGTTAAAGCTGAAATCAGCTCCTGCCACTCAGACAGGTTGACCCACCCTTCTTCGACTTCCTGTCATACTCAGAGCAAAATCCGAACTCCTTACGTGGCCACCTAATCAAGCCCCGCTTCTCTCACGGACCTCACCTCTTACCCCTCTGCCTGGCTCAGTGTGCTCCAGCCGCCCTGGCTTGCTGTCTGGTGCTCATTTACACCAAGCCTGTTCCCTCTGCCTGGAGTTTGCTGTTCTCAGGAGTTCTGTCTTGCTTCCCCACTTCATTAAGGGCTCTGCCCACGTATCTGTCTCAGTGAGCTCCCCTCTCCCCAGATTCTCCTGTTTGCTTTGCTTTCGACCTTGCGCGAGACTTACTACTACCTGCAGTCCCTTGTGTGCTCTCCCGATTCTTGTCTGTCACTCTCCACTAGAACGCCAGCTCCATGAGGACGAGAATATGTATCTTGGTATCCCCAGCACGTACCACAGTGCTTTTTGCACATCACAGATACTCACAAAATATCTGTTGACTCGATGGATGGAGATATAGAGCTCGTCCCAGGCTTGCATAGTGGCGCGTAGTAATGAAGTACATCAGGCATTTACAACGCAGTGGGGATTTTGCACAATAGGGATAAGCACAGGTGCAAAGAAAAATCCTGGGAGGGTGGAGGATGTTAAGGAAGGCTTCCAGGAGGAGGCAGCACTTGAGCTGAGGCTGGGAGGACATGTGGGAGTTAGGCAAATGTTGAGGGCGGTTCAGGTAATGGGAACATCGGGGGTAAAGGCACGAGGACGAGAGAGCAAGGTGCGTGCAGCGAACTGCGGGCAGGCCACTGTGGCCGAACTGCAGCAGGGGAGGCTGAGGGTGTGTCTGGTCCTCCTGCCCTGGGAGTGCCCAGGGTGAGAGGGATCCGGTCCATCTCCTCGGTGTTGTCAGTGCCCACCACAGCACCTCTGATGGTTTTGATGGGTGAACAGGTGGACAGACTGGTGAAGGAAGGAATGAGTGGGTAGGTGAGTGGAGGAACGGACAGATGATGATGGCTGTATTAGTGGACGGATGGATAAGAAAAGGGGTGGACTGGAATATGGTTGCAGGAAAGATGGGGATGCATGGTTATGGGGGACAGGTGGCTAAGTGGGCCGGTGGACGGATGTCTGAACAAGGCAGACACAGGGACGGAGCGAATGAGTGGATTAGATACAGCTGAATGGATGGATAAGGTGAGTGATGGGTGGATAAAGGAATGAGGAGTTATTACGACATTAACTTTGCATGGTGACAGCTGGTTACTAGTCTGAATTGTGATCACGTCATAAGGTACATACATGTCAAATCGCTATGTTGTACACCTGAAACTAATACATTACATGTGACCTACACTTTAATAAGCAAAAACTGTTAAGTACAGATGAGCTGGTAAATAAGTGATTGGACAGATGAATCGTGGGGGGTGGACAGGAAGGTGGGGAAGTGAGTCTTGGGACAGAACCTGAGCCCAGAGCCCCTGACCCACACGCTGGCTTTCCTTCTGTCTCCTTCTTGCTGTCCCCAGTGGCCATCACCGTTGTGGGCCTGCTGGTTTTCCCCATCGGCCTGGCCTCCCCATTCGCCAAGGAGGCCTGCAGAACTTCCTCTGTGTACCATGGTGGACAGTGCCAGCTGGGCTGGGGCTACGTGACCGCCATCCTCAGTGCCGTCCTCGCCAGCCTGCTGCCCATGATCGGGTGGCCGCGTGTGACCCAGGTGCCGGGCAGGGCCATCCACTTCTCCAGCAACAGGGAGAAAATCACTGTCATGCCCGAAGGGAGCAAATAAAATTTTCCCAGGAGGAGCAAAAAGAGCCCATGTTGAAACTGTATGGAATCGCCACACACCCGGGATCATGTCCCACTTCCGCTGCTCCCTGGGACTTCAGGCCGGCCCCTCACCTCTTCGGACCTGTGAGTTCTTCTGTAAAATGGGGCGGTGGACACTGCCACTTCATCTGGTGGTTATTTTGGGAACTCAGGGACCCTAAGGCCATGACTAGGAAACCATCCCCATCTGGGGTGACCGGGGACATGGTATAGACACTGTGTGCAAAACGGCCTGACTGATTTCCCGGCCTGGATCCACACCCCTTTCCGATGTCACTTTTCAAAGCCACCTGTCCAGTGGTGGGGTCTGCTCCCCTGTTGCCTGAGTTGGAGCTCAGCCAGGAGACATGCTTGCCCAAGAGAACACGGGGACATGACTCCACGCCAGTCCCCAGCCTGGGCCCCCAGAGGCCATGCACCCCTCTGCTTGGCCTCTCGGGACCTGCCATCGTGGCCACGGAAACGAGCCCGGGTGCCCGCTGGAGGACAGACACAGGGCCCAGCACCCCCCCACGGCCCCAGCCAGCAGCTTGCAAGTGTCGGAAGCCACCCTGCCCAGCTGGCTATCAGCTGGCCCAGATGCACGAGGAAGTCCAGCAGAGACCAGAAGAACCCCCTGCTGACCACAGCCTGTGCTGTTGACACGCAGAATCACAAGCTAAATAAATGTTTGTTCTAAGCCACTGGATCGGCGGTGGTTTGTCAGGCGGCGTTATCTTGGGAACAGCTAAGGGACAAGGGATGAGAAGTGACTCATCTGCCTTGAACCGTGTGGGGAGAGACCAGGCAGCTGCTGTGTGAGTCCGTCCCCACCCGGGAGTGAGTCGCTGCGGTGGGAGTGGGCGGGCAGGGCCTCACAGACAAACCTTTCTTCCTCTCAAATTCAGAAAACTCCCCCAAACACAGAAGCAAAAACGACCCAGATTCACACGTTTCACCGTTTAGATATATTTTCTGTCCACACAGACACAACTTTTCAGTAAACAGTTATGAGATGTGCTGGTAACAGCGAGAAAAGGAGGGCGTTCCAGAGACAGAACGGCTCCCACACGCTCAGACACAGGGGACGCAGGCCACAGACTCGGACTGAGCACGGCAAGCGGAATAAATGGGAGTCACTCCGAACCACGGCCACGACCATCTCTCTGGGACACCGAGAGAAGGCAGAGGGGAGGTCTTGTGCTGTGCGATGTGACTAGCCCGTCCAAAAATAAGAGTCGGGAGACCCAGGACCTGGGTCTTGCCAACATCACCACCCCTGGCGTGTGGCAGAATACTTTCCTCTGGAGAGACCTTTTGCACGTTTTTTTCCCATCTAGGGAAGGTGGGGGACCAGGGTGGGAAGATGTACAGTCTTCGGAAGCAAGGGCCCTCTGGGCCTCGCCCGGTCTTCCCAAGGGGCCCGCTTTGGGGAAGATGGGGGTTCAGACGCAGCTGGAGTTTGCTGACTCAGGGAGAGCCTTCGCCAGCGTGCAGGGCAGGGCTTCCCTGTCCTGGTTTGCTCGGGGCTGCAGGCCGAGCACCCACGGTGCGGACGCCTCCGTGTGCTTTCCCTGTCTCCGCCACCACGCCACAACCCTACCTGCCACTCTTGGAATAGCAGTCCCCCCTGACTCCGTGTCTCCTGATTGGGGAGCATTTGCGGAACAGAATTGGCAGGACCACTTTCCCGAAGGACAGGTGGGCGGGTGAGCTACCTACCTACCCACCTACCTAACTCAGGATCTGTTCGCGGGCCGGTGACCCTTTGTGAGAAGACACGGCGGGGACTGTTTCCACAAAACACACACACCTCCACCCTGCTGACCTCTGTCTTCCTCCTCTGTCCTGAGTGAGCAAGGGCACTTGGGGACGAGCTGGCCTCCCTGACCACATGGCTTTCACCCACACACGCGTTCCGAGCTCCTGGAGCACCAGACTCAGCGTGCAGCAGGAAAGGCTCGGTCTTTCTGGGCAGGGGTGTGTGCGTGGGGGGGATGAGGGTTCTGCCCTGCCCGGGGGCTATGGGTCAGGCTCACAAGAGCCTCTGTCTCAGGCCTGTAGCTACTTCTTCAATCCCAAAGACATCTTTCTTGACAAGAAGAAAGGAAGCTTCTCCTGGGGTAAAGTGGAGAAGAATGAGAGAATACAGCGAATGGAATCCCAAACCTCCAGGGAGATGTGTACAGGACTCCGTGTGCTTTTTCTAAGTGGGAGGGAACCTGGGGACACGGGCGGCTCAGGTGGAGGGAGGAGGGTTGGGAGATACACCGGCAGCCCCTCCTCTGAGCCAGGAGGCCTCAGGTGAGGGCATCTGGCAACACCTGGGGATGCTCTGGGTTGTCACGGCTGGGGTGGGGAGGCCGGGGACCCTGCGCCGCGTCCGTCAATGCACAGGAGGCCCCACCCACCCCGAGAAGGACCCGGCCTGGGTGTGGACAGTGCTGAGGCGCAGAGACCTGCTCCAGGCCCACCCGCCAGCCGCGTGCTGGCACGTCTCCAAAGGCCCCTTTCGGTGTCCAGAGGTGGCCCCACGGACATGTACCCCGATTTCTCACACAGTCCCATCCCCAAGACCCATCCGACAAGGCAGTTTGGGGGGTGGGGGAAGAGAGAGAGGAGGCCGCTCGGGAGACCTTGGACGAAGACCTTCCCTCAGTCCACCAGCTCCCGCGAAGGGGAAATCCGACTCGGGCGATCTTTGGTCAAACAGGAAAACGTAAGGCTGAACTCAGGGGGCCACCCCGTGACCCCGCCTGCCCGGGGCCAACGTCAGGGCGGTTTCTCTCTGCACAGACGTGCATGCTCACCAACAGGCCCCGGGACCCCACTCCCGGGGCGGCCGGGCAGGAAGAGTGGGCAGGACAGGCAGGCGGCGGCTCGGCTGCCACCGCCCGGGTGAAGCCGCCTTCACTTGTTCTCAATCAGGGTCTGCACCTTGTACACGAGGTCCCGGGCCAGCTTCAGGACCTGCTTGGTGTTGTGTCGCTCGGCCATTTCTGAAAGAGCAGAGGGTGACATCTCATGAGCCCCCGCCTCTGCCTGTCCTCAGGACACACCGCCAGCACCCGGTGGCGTCTCCAGGCCTGTCCCCGCCACTGTCATCTGGCGCCATCCCCGGAGGGGCTCTGGAAGTGAGACCTGGGGGACGGCCAGCACCTCTGGACCTCAGTTTCCTCATCTGTGAAATGGGGATGGTGACAGTGTCCACCTCACAGGGCGATGCTGGGTCAGCGTGTGCCTAAAAATGGTAGGTCTCCCGCCCCCTTTCCACAAACGGTGACTGGGGGCCACGTCAGAAAGCGACGCTGGGGCACAGCAGAGCCTCACAAGTACAGGAGGGCGGGTGTGACAGGGGCGGCGGGGACAGAAAGCAAAATTAATGAGTTGTATCAAGAGCCTCACAAAGTGGTCAGATCTTTAAGGCGGAATAATCCTAAACTGTGACATGTATCACAAAGAAGTCACTCAGCAGAGGAGAAAGGTGGTAAGACCCTGGCTCCGGAACCGGGTGCCGAGGTCCCCACAGCGCCACTGTGAACTTGGGAAAATGTCACGGGGACACGGCGTTAAGGCCTCACACGGCTGCGCTCTCAGGGAGCGGCTTCTGGGACGCAGGGCACGTGGCCTGGGGCAGGGAGGTGCCCGTGGCCTGGAATGGAGGTGCCCGTGTCCACCGATTCCAGGTGCGGGAAGCCGCGCGCCGCCCAACAGGCGCACACCCCGACCGGGAACTGTGCTTATCTAAGAATGGAACAAAAAAATTCTCTCTTCTTCTGAGTTATATGTATTATTTTTTCAAACGGCTGCTAAGTTGTTGGGGTGTAAATATATACTTCTGTGGTTCGGCCCCAACTCCTTGCTAAGGGGAACTTTTGGCCGGAGGGGCCGTGTGCTGAGCTGGTGTGGGGGCCTCTGCAGTAAGTGAGGACTCCCCGTAGGTCCTCAATCCCACCTCCCACTGCGGACGGTCCAGATGCCCGGCAACAGGGCGTGGTCGGTAAGTGAGACAGTCGCTTGAGGTATATTCTGCAGCCTTAAAAAGTGATTGTAAAGAAGGCAGTTTTAAAATGAGTAGGTGGGGAAAAAAACTAGTTATAACTGGGTTCTGTGATGGTAATACCATAAAAATATCCACAACTATGGAAAAGCCTGAATGAAAAAAGTTTTTAAAAAAATGAACCTACTACATGCAATGTGGTTTCCTGGCTCGGATGCTGAAGCGTCAGAGGACTTGGGACGAAGACCAGGTGGAATAGATCAAGCCTGCAGTTCAGTTCCTGGCAGTGGGTCCATGTGAATTTCTGAGTGGTGACAGGTGCACTGGCACCAGCTGACATTGACACTGAGGGGCAGCTGGGGGAAGGGTATCAGGAACACTGTGGACTGTATTTGCAACTTTTCTGTACATTTATGATTACCCTAAAATAAAAAGCTTCATTAAAAAACGTTTTGGGAAGATAGAGGCGTAGGTGGAAATACTGTACCTCCTTGCACCACCAAGTTCATGAACAACAAATATTTAAAAACCAACCAAAACCAGAATGCAACCAAAACAGAAAAAAATGAAACTGTACCAAAGTCCGACAACAACGAACCATTCATCCAGACCAGTAAGAAGGGCGGAGTCAGCGGGTCCTGCAGGAAGAAGCAGCCAGACCTGACCCAGGTGCACAAGCGGCAGTTGGCAGATCCCAGGTGTGGGGTGGCAACGGGCAGACCCAGTGAGGGTACAAGGCGGCTGGCTGACCGCAGGCACACATTCGTGCGCAGATAAACCAAGTGAAAAAATGAACAGTGAGACAGACCGCACAACACAGGGCCCCAGAGCCAGAAAATAAAGCCTAAAAGCACCAATTGGGAAAACTTTCGGGGGTCGAGGTGCTGGGAGAGGCTCCCAGGCTCACAAAGAGTTCATTGGAGAGACCCACAGGGTCCTAGAGGGTACGCAAGCCCATACCTCTGGGAACTAGCACCAGAAGGGCCCAATTTGCTGGTGGGAAGCAGCAGCGGGGACTGAAATCTGAGACAGCAGAAAAAAACACCATTGCCCTTCTCTGACCCCACCCCCACATACAGCGTCACACCCCAGCAGCCTGGTGAACACCTAAGGCTCTGCCCCTCATCCGTACAGGTGCAAACAGACCAAAACATTATGGCTCAAGAAGAAGAACAGCTCAAAGCCCCAGAGCCAATACTTCTAAGTGACCAAGAGATAGTCAACCTGTCAGATGCATAGTTCAAAACACTGGTGATCAGGATGCTCACAGACTGGTTGATTTTAATCACAAATTAGATGAAAAATGAAGGCTACACTAAGTGAAATGAAGGGAAATGCACAGGGAACCAATAGTGATGGAAAGAAAACTGGGACTCAAATCAATGGAGTGGACCAGAAGGAAGAAAAAAACGACCAAACAGGAAACGATGAAGAAACAAGAATTCAAAAAATGAGGAGAGGCTTAGGAACCTCCAGGACATCTTTAAACTTTCCCACATCTGAATTATAGGGGTACCAGAAGGGGAAGAGGAACAGCAACAAGCAGAAAACTTACTTGAACAAATAATAAAGGAGAACTTCCCCAATCTGGCAAAGGTAATAGAATTCTGGGAAGTCCAGGAAGCTCAGAGAGTCCCAAAGAAGTTGGACCCAAGGAAGAACACACCAAGGCACGTCATAATTACATTAGCCAAGATTAAAATGAAGGAGAGAATCCTAGCAGCAAGAGATAAGGGGACAGTCACCTACAAAGGAGTTCCCATCAAACTGTCAGCTGATTTCTCAAAAGAGACCTTGCAGGCAAGAAGGGGCTGGAAAGAAGTATTCCAAGTCATGAAATCCAAAGGCCTACATCCAAGATTGATCTATACAGCAAAGCTTTCATTTAGAATGGAAGGGCAGATAAAGTGCTTCTCACATAAGGTCAAATTCAAGGAGTTCATCATCACTAAGCCTTTATTATATGAAATGTTAAGGGACTTATCTAAGAAAAAGAAGATAAAAATATGAACAGTGAAAAGACAGAAAACTCAGTTATTAAGAACCACACCTAAAACAAAAGCAAACTAAGTGGACAGCTAGATCAGGAGCAGAACCATAGAAATGGAGATCACATAGAGGGTTAGCAACAGGGGAGTGGGAGAGGAGAAGGGGGGAGAAGGTACAGAGAATAAGTAGCATAGACGGTAGGTAGAAAATAGGGGGGAGGGCAAGAATAGTATGGGAAATATAGAATCTAAAGAACTTGAGACACGTGGGCATAAACTAAAGGGGGAGAATGGGGGGAGTGGGTGTGCAGGGTGGAGGGGAATGAAGGAGGGAAATGGGACAGCTGTAATGGCATAATCAATAAAACATATTAAAAAAAGAAAACAAAGTATTAGTAAGGCTATAAACACAATAAAAATATATGTAATTAATAGCTAACTTAAAAAAATGTTTCCAGGGGAGGGTCATACGTCGCTTTTTTCCTCTTTTGCTTTTTCCAAAAACTTCTTTGGTTAAAAAAAAATAAAAACTATAAATAATAACAGTAACAACAACTTCCGGCTATGGGGCGGCTCGTCCGGGCCAGGTCTCACGTGACAGGCTCCATTCCCGTCCTATTTAATCCTCCTGATGTCTCTGTGATCAAGGCCTCGGTGTGTTTTTTATGCCCCAGGAAACGGAATCCCAGGGACAACAAGCCCAAGGCCCCCCGCTCCCGAGTGGCACAGCTGGACTCAGAACCTGCATCTTATCTGATTTCCGAGGCCTGCCTCTCTCCTTTCACTTCAACGGCCTTCCTTTGCCTGCTTCACCTGCCTGGGTCGACCCTCTGATGCAGATGGACACTGCCACCCCATTTTACGAATGGAAAAGCGGATGCTCAGAGAGACAGCAAGTGACTTGTCCACAGGCACAGGTGGTTGGTGGCAGAGCCAGGGTCTGCCCCAAGCCTGAGTTCAACGCCCTCCTTCTGCCAGAGTCCTGAGGAAAACTTAACCTCAGCACTGCAAGACGTTGACGCTTCCATTTGGGAAGAGACACAGGAAGTGGACAGAACCCCCCCCCCCTCGTGTGTCAATCTCAGTAAGTCTCCTTCCCTCCCGAGGCCCCAGGAAGGGGCCCTCCAGGAGCCCACACCCCTCAGAGGAGCCCCCGGTCATGTGGGTACCATTAAAGAATTTGATGATGTCTGTGAAATCCATGTTGTTCTCCAGGATGATGTCGCGGTAGACCTCCACCAGAGCCAGCGCGATGAACAGGACGTAGTGGGCGGACGAGACATGTTTGGCTGCCCAGATGGTCTCCCAGACCGAGAAGACATCATCGTAGACGAGTTCTGCCGAGACACCAACGAGCACACGCGCGGGGAGGGTGTCAGCCACACAGCTCCCGGGGCTGCCCGCCCTCCGGGAAGATCCCAGGCCAGCTGCGCTCTGAGCTTCTGTCCTGGTGTGGTGGACAGATCTCGGGCCAGGAGCCAGGGGACCTGGACTCTGTCACTGACCATCAGAAGCCTCAGTTTCCCCTATCTGTAGAATAGGCAAATCGAATACAGTGAGTGGTAACTTTCCAGCTCAGACATCCTGCAAGTGGAGGAAGTGAGCCTGTGCAGGTTTAACACTGACCTGTCCCTGCTCTGCTCCCTGACCAACATCCCTGTGGACCCTGCTCCATCTCCTCTAACGCCCACGGGGGTACCTCCCCTTCCCCCTGCACAGAGTTGGCTGCTGCCTCTGGGTCCGGGAAGAGAGCAGGGAACAATGGTTAAGAGCCAGGCTTTCTGTGTCCAGTAGACTGGGTCTGAATCCTAGCTCTACCTCTTACCACCAAGGTGACCTTGAGCTAGTTACTCTCTTTCCTCATCTCTCATGCAGTGATGCTAACCACAGCAAAAGACTAACGAGATAATGCACAGAAATGGCCCAGCACTGTGCCTGGCACTTGGCGAGCCCCTTCATGTGTGTTAGGCATTCTCCTCAGCATCACCCCAAGTTTGCACAACACCAATGCACTGCGCTATATGTGATTTTAGGTCCCATGCAAAACGTGCTTCATGGGCTTCTTGAAGCATGTTCAACATCTCTGATAAGCAGCAAAATACAGTGGAAGGGACTGGCCTTAGGAGGTGGACAGAGGGGGCCCGGATTCTGGTTCTACTTCTCCTCGCTCTGAATTAGGCTTTTCCCGACCTCAGTCTCCTCATCTGTACAATGGGGACTGTAACTCAACCTGCTGCACGGTGTCACCATGGGGTAAGGCAGGCAAACCGGTCATCAGCACTCAATGAGAGGGTGCTGCTCTCTTCCACCAGCTTCGGCTCGGTGGTATCTCCCCCCACCTGAGGTTCTGCTACAAAGAGTCTGGGAACAAGGCCCCAGTCTGAAGTCTGTACCTCGCTTGAAATCCAGCAGGAACCAGCGGTAACAGAAGTAGAAGTGAGTGTAGTCCCCGTTCTGATGCATCAGCTCAAAGAGCTCGGAGTCCAGGATCTGTCAGAGGAAGCAAAGGTGGCTGTCAGCCTCCTGGGCAAAGGCCAGACCAAAGGGACAGCTGAGTAAATGACAGTCCGTCCCCACACCGGACACCAGGCAGCCCTTTACAACCAGCTGGAGTTAAAAAAGTGGGCAAAGGGTTTGAAGTGCAAATCAACCTAGCTCAGCCAAACACAGTCACTCCCTCCAAACAGATATGCAAATGGCCCATACGCACAGGAGAAACATGCAATGCCATGAATCATTAGGAAAATGCAGATCAATACCCCAGTGAGATGCCACTTCACACCCACTAGGGTGGCTATAATACAGGTCATAAGACAGCAAAGTGCTGGCCAGGACGTAGAGAGACAGGGGGCCTCCCACGCTGCTGGGAGGAATGTGCGATGCTGTCTGCAGTGGCACCCCTGGACACATCCCCAACAGAAAGCAAAACCGCGTCCACATGAAAGCTTGGGCGCGACTGCCCAGCATCATCCCTAACAGCCAAACAGCGGAAACGACCCAACATTTGTCAATGGTGAATGGATGAACCAAATGTGGTCCGCCCACTTGATGGAAGGCGACGGGTGACGTCCTGGCACACGCTCACTGTGGGTGAGCAGGGAGAGCACTAGGCTCAGTGAAAGCAGCCTGACGTGAAAGCCACGTGTTGCAGAGACTAGCAGCTGCCAGGACCTGGGGAGAGGGGCCGATGCTACTGGGTACGGAGTTTCTTTCGAGGACCGTGAAAGTGTTCGAACTTAGGTGGTGCTGATGGCTTCACGACAGGGAGTATTCTAAAAACCACTGAATGGAACATTCAAAAAGGGCGCATTTCATGGTGTGTGAATTACGGCTCAATAAAGCCGTGTGCGTCTGAGCGTGTGGAACATACCCAAACATTAACTTAGAGGAAAAGGACGGACGCAATCAAACATCCTTTGAAGGGCCCAGGGCCATTCTCGTTCCCTGTGCACTCACAGTGCCTGGACGGAGTAAACACTCAGTGGGAATGAACCTGCTAGAGCCGATTTCAACTGTTAAGTTCAGGGTGAGCTCAACTGAGTTTTTCAGTTCAATTTAGAGTGAAGTTGGAGTTTTTGAGTTGAGCTCACTCGGCTGGGTTGAGCTGAGATGAACTGCACTGAGTTCAGGTAGGACTCAGCTACTGGGTTGAGTTACAGTAGGCGTGGCTACTAGGTTGACCTGAGGTCCGCTGGGTTGAGTGGGAGTAAGCTGTATTATTGAACAGGACTGAATCACACCTGGATCAGTGACCTCATGTTGGCAAAATGGGTGTCCATGGCGCCTCCGTGGGGGAAGTTCTGGTTCATTCTCTTCATGAGCTCCGTGAAGCAGCTGAAGGCGAGAGCCTCTGGGGAAGAGCACAGGAGAAACCGTCGGCTCCGGCCCTGCCCAGGGAACCGGGGTCCCGGAGGGTGCTGGCTCGTTTTCCTAAAGGACACTGCTCTGTAGTTTGCTCGGGACGTGCCTGTCTGGTGCCGGCGCCAGGGCACCCACAGGCCCTCGTGTTAGGACTGGTCTCACAGAATGAGCGGAGACGCACTCCCTCCTACTCTGTTTCTTTTGGAAGAGTTTGGGAAGAATTGGTAGTCATTCTTCTCTAAGTGTGGTGGAAATCACCAGGGAAGCCATCTGGGGCTGCGTGTTTCTTTGTCCTCATTCATGTCTGTGCAGTCAGTGGCTAGCAAAGGCCTGGCTGGGTGTTGGGCACTGGGCATTAAGCACTGGCCATCAGGGAACGAGAGGCCTTTCTGCTTTAGGAGGATCTTCACGAGCTCACCAGACAGGTCTTCTGGGCACCCACACTGAACCCTCCCACGGACTCGCAAAGTGAAGTTAACCACCCTCCCCTGCAGTAAGAAGGAAACTGCACCCCCAGCCCCCGGGCGGGGAGAACACACTCACCGTCATCCAGAATGACCAGCAGCGGAGCCAGGAGGTCACACATGCCCTGGACGTAGCCGATCTCAATGTGCTGCCAGATGTAGCTGCGAGAGGGATGCAGGGGCTCAGTGCGGACACCCACGACCTGCCTCTCCAACCCCCTGCTCCCCCCTCTGCCTCCTCTGTGGTTCGGGCCCTCAGGCCTCACCTGGACCACTCCCCCAGCCTCCTGCCTGCATCCCGGTACCCAGTCTCACACTCTTCAAACATCACATGCTCGGCCACCAGGATGGCTTCCTAAACTCCTGCATGCTCAGACACCTCCCCGGCACCCAGCATGTGACAGGCCCAGGCCCACACTCCTCAGCGGGGAGTACAAGGCGTGGACAGTCTCACCCGTCACTGCCCTGTACCCCTTCCTCTCTGCCGCACGGAGGTATTCACCTTTGCACAGACAAAGCAGGCACTCACCTCCCTGGGCTTTGGCCCCAGCAGTTCCCACCTGTCCCTGAATAACAACAGCTAACATTTACTGAGCACTTACTGTCTGCTCAGCCCACTACATGAGTACTGCATCATTAAATTTTCAAAGCAACCACATGAAAAGGATCCCATTTCCCCAGGGGAGACAGGCATAGAAAAGTGACACACACACAGTCGTATGCCTACTGATAACGGACACATTATTAGAGGCACCTTTTGAACCCAGATGGCTTCACCCCCGGGCATGCGCTCCTACCCTGCAGGCCAAATGGTTTCTTCAGTTTCTCCTAATTTTGCCCAAATCCATCTTGAATGTCACCACCTCTCTGAGGCCTTCCGTGATTTTCCCTGATGCCATAACCAGGCAAAAATCCTCCCTTCCCCCCAAGCACTTTCTCATTTTAATGTAACATTTTATATTGGTATCTCCTAGACTAAATTTTGAGAGGCAGTGATTGCTTGGTTAAGAGGCGGTGCTTATGAATGAGTTAGGGCAGGCTTCAGTAAACCTTTCTGGAGACGTCCAGAGAACAATTATTGTTAGCTTGGTGGGTCACGTCTTCTCTGGCTCAACTACTCAACTTTGCAGAAGCAATTAGTAGGCAAACCAACAGGCCTGGCCGGCTTCTAATAAAGCTTTATTTACAGGAACAGGTGATGGGCTGCTAGCGGGGAAAGAAGTCCAGGATGCATTACTGAGTGGAAAAAGCCAGTTGTACAAAAATAGTTTGTAGTATAATCCCATGTAGGTGGAAACTTTTAAACATGTATGCTATTATATTATCATATAATAGCAGTCCCCAAGCTTTTTAGCACTGGGGACCAGATTCATGGAAGACAATTTTTCCACGGATGGGGCTGGGGGACGGTTTCAGGATGATTCAAGTGCGTTACACTGAAGCTCACCTCCTGCCCTGCAGCCTGGGTCCTAACAGGCCTGATGGGTATCAGTCCCCTGATGGGGGACCCCTGTCATATAATATATCATCTGTTACATATATATATATATATATATATATATATATATATGCGGGAGTAAGACCCCAGGTGGGCAAGGTGTGCGGTGAGAGGCCGCCGTTGCAGCCGCCCCCCCCCGCAGCCCTGGCTCTGCCACCCCGTCGGGCGCCCCGCAGTCCCAGCCCCGCCCACCTGCACATGATGTTGCGCAGCTTCTCCAGGTTGGCGGGCGTGAAGTACCAGTAGTTGCGGTCGCACCGCTGCACGTCCTTCTCGATGCGGTGCAGGTTCACCGTGTACAGGTCCAGCAGCTCCGGCTGCGCGCCCGCGGGAGGGGAGGAGGGCAACAGTTATCCCCGGCCCCTCATGGAGGCGGTCTGATTGAAGAGACTCCCCCTCCCCGCCACCCACCCCTGCCATCGTCCCTGACACCAACATCCTCTGCCCCCTGTGGCCAGCCAGGTGTTTGATTCGGTCTTTGTTGTTTTCTACGCAAACCTCTTTTGCTGTGGATGATGAATATGCTTTTAATTTTTTTCCTTTGGTAAAACAATCCTATAAGGTGCGTGGACTCAGCATCCCCACCACACGGGTGAGGAAACTAAGAGCTACAACTGCAGCTGGAGGGAGGTCCCTCTCTGCCGGAAACTGGCCGGGAAGAACGGCAGACCTGAACACAGAAGCCCGGGTCCGGAAACGCGCCGGGCCGGGTGACCGGACCCAGCAACCCTGGTGAGATGGCAAGACAAAAGGAACATTTAAAGGCCGAACAGTAACCTGAAAAGGCAATAAAATACCAAGGCTGGCTTCTGTCTTGAGGGAATCTGCCAAATAGGAAAAATGTGAGCTTGGATTTCTGATGTGGTGGTCCCACCCACCCTCGGGGTAAGGAATCTGGTAAGAGACCTCCCCACGTTAAGGCAGGACCCCAAAAAGCCACCCCCCAAGTGGGGGAAAACCTGAAAAACTAACATCCTGGGATCTGTCTTGAAAACAGGGGCCCAACTGAGTGTAAAAGATAACCCCCTGGATCATTAACAGAATCAAATCAGGGTATTAGCTTATGCGGGTTCATAACCCAAATTCCCACCACCCAGAGGGTCTAATTTACAATGGCCTTGGGGTGGTTTTGCCCCTGGGTACCAGAAAGTAGTAAATACAGCCCTCTCTTGAGGAATCTACCTTCCACCTAGGCCTCAGATAATGTAAGAGATAAAGTTTCAAGAATGTTTCAGAAGAGATTTAGGCAACTGGCAAAGAGTCTGGGGGGTGGGGCGGGGGGGTGAATTATCGAGATATATGTATGTAGCAAACTAAGAGAAAAGAAGCAGAGACTAGAAAATGAAAACATACAAGTTAATCACAATTTTTTGCAGGAGAAAAAAATAAATGCAGGTGACAATGGTGCATATGTTATATTACTATAATAACGTAAACTACTGACCAGTTGTTAACTAACACATGCTGTAATACAGCATACAGTATTTGACTGTGCTGCACAGGAGGGAGGAGAGGTCCCACTTGTGTGGCGAGGACCCAAAGGTGGGGAAGGGAGAGGACCGAACCCTCTTCTTCCATAGTTGGAAGTTAACAGATCATGTCTAAAATTAAAGAAAAACTTAAAAAACCAAGAAACAGCATCAGGCACGTTATTTACAGACACCAGGGTAGACACCAGATAATGTGGGCAGAACAAGGAGCTCCTCTCGTCTCCGGGGAGCCCTCTCCGGGGGCGTCAGGACAGACAACTTCCGGTGTGTTCGCACCCAGCCTCCCCTGAGTGTTTGCCTCTCCCCACAACTACCGGCATGCACATCTTTGACAGAAATAGCAAGTTCTTTGAAGGAAAATGGACACGCAGTGTCACAAACCTCCCCCGAAGCCGGCCTCCTCCGGCTGGGACCTGAGTGTAAGTCAGCTCGCTCACCACCAGGCCTGCTGCTGGCTGAGCGCTCCCTGGGCGCTAGGCCCGGAGGACAGGACGCAGCAACTTTGGAAACAACTCAGGGAGACAGACAGGGAGACCGAGGCTCAGAAAGATGAAGCGGCTGTCTAAGCTGGTCACTCTGAACCCGGGACTGTCTGACTGCAAAGCCCGTGTCCTCTGAGCGTCACACTCCCTTCTCCCCCAAATGGACAGCCCTCCGTGGTGGGGGAAATGCAATGAACCAGAGGTCGTCTGGATAACTGAGGTTTGGGGGTACACTCCCTCCCCACCGCAGTGGGGAGACGGAGTGGAAGAGGACTCTAGGCACTTACAGAGTAGGTGACGCCGCTGGAGGACACAGGGGACGCCTCGCTGTTGGCAGAAGTGCTCACGGCCAGGGAGGCCAAGGCCGGGAAGAGACTCTCCATCTCAGGCTCCTCTGAGAGGTTGTCCTCGCTGTCCGCCCGGCTGTGCTTCTCCGGCTCGCCGCCCCCCCAGCCCCCCGTCAGCGCGCCCTCCTTCTCAGGCAGAGCCACGTCCATGCTGCCTGGGATGGACATGAACTCGTCCATGCTCTCATTGGCCAGGAGGTCACTCTCCAGGCTGTCCTGCACGGCCAGCTCCTCACGGGGAGCCTCGTCCCGGGACGTGGTGGCCTCGCTGCTCTGCCCTTCGTCCACGCTGCTGTCCCCAGGCCGAAGCACCAGGGAGGCGTTCCGCTGGGGGTCCATGACGCTGTCTTCTGTACTCAGGCTGGGCTCCGAGTGCTCCGAGAGGCCAGAGGAGAAATTGTGGGAGGAAGGGTGGCCGGAGTCTGGGGAACAGGTGCCATTCACCAGGTTCCCATTGGGGATCTTGGGCTGTTTCTCCTCCAGCCTGCCTTCTGCCTCCACCTGCTCCACTTCGTCCACAGACTCAAACACCTGAAGACAAGACGTGCAAAGACAGTTGGACCCTGTTGCTGCTTCCAACAGTAACTTCAATACCCATCGCCAGGGGATTACAGACACAGAACAGACACGTGGTGGAATACTACACAGTCAGTAAAAAGGAGCGAGGCTGAACAACGGGTAACACAGGCTCCCATTTGTGAAGAATAAAAGAGTGACCCATATGCATAAAAATGTATAGAACAATCCAGAAACAAGGAAGCACTGCGGTTGATGCTGTGAAGGGATTACTAAGGAATTTAAATGGAAGGAGAACACCTTTTGTCATGTAAACTCATGCGCACATAATTTAAGTAAAATATTAGTTAACAACGGAAAGGTCAGGCTGAACAGAGACCATATCCATGTGGTTGACTGTTAGCGATAAATTTTCAAAAGCGGTTCGATGCACAGATGACCCCGAACACTGTCAGGGTTCGGGAGTGTCGACCACTCACACGAACATCCACTGGTAACTTTCAGCTCCCCAGAAACGTCACCAGGAGTCTGCTGTTGGCCTGAACCCTTCCCGATGACGTAAGCAGTTGATCAACACGTGTTTACACTGTATGTATTATGTACCGTATTCTCACAGTAAAGTAAGTTAGAGAAAAGGAGGAGACAAGCAAGCCAACGACAGTGTTATTTCAGGGAGGACAAGCAGGGGTGAAGGACAGTCAAAGCCAAATTGCACTTTGGCTGCAGTATTTTAATTATTTTCATGGGGAGAATAGGTTCGTACGTTACTTGTGTAATTAAAAACTCAGTCTTTAATGCTAGTATATAAACAAATAAACCAAAAGTGACCCACAGACGATGGATATCCAAGTCCACTACCCCAGGCTGGAGGGCAGGGTGGGCAGGAAGGGGCGGGGCCTCGGAAGGTCACCTGTGTGCTGCTGCTGGAGTCGCTCTGCAGGCGGACGTTCTGGCGGCCGGAACTGCAGCTCTGGGAGGACTGAGAGGGCAGAGGCGGGAGGGAGCGTGGGTGAGGCTGCGTTGTCCTGGCTCAGGTTCCCCACACTGAGCCCAGGATGGGCTACCGGGCTGGGAGTCAGGAAGTCTAGTTTTATCTCTATTCCTGACTTGAGCAAGGCCCCTCTCCAGGCCTCAGGGTCCTATCTATGAAATAACGAGGGGTGGGGAGTTTCCCTGCCCGATCCCTGGACACTCCAAGGAGGCCACAGTAGCCTCCTGGCCTCTACCTCCCATCCCTGCACTGAGAAAACCCCATCTGTAATTGCTCTGAACTCCAGACTGCTGGCTAACATTTAGTTTGACTCCCAGCCAGTTGTCGTAGGAATGACCCAATTTTTTACTCCCTCTTTGTATAGGTGCTTTTTGTCCTAACGACTTCTAGTTCCTAGCTACTCTGATGCTAGGCTTGGCCATGTGACCTGCTCTAGCCAATGGGATGCTAGCAAAGTCCACAGGGCAGAGGCTTCAAAGGTGCCCGTGTGGTCATGTGTCTGTCTTTATGATCTGTGTTCAGTACGATAACACACCCGGGTTAGCTGGCTGGAGGATGAGATTTGGAATAGAGCTAAGTCAACCAGGGCACATGAAGGTCAACTAAGCATGTCAAGGCTAACTTGTAGTTGACCTTCAGAGTTCAGAACTGCCCTGCTGACCCACAGACTCAGGAGTGAAAGTAAATGTGTATTGTTGGAAGTCACTGACCTTTGGGGGTTGCCTGTTACATACTATTAGTGTGGCAATTTGTGGCTGGTATATCACTAGTGAAGGGAATTAACTTTCTTTTCAGTTCCTGCTTTGGGCTGCTAAATTGGAGATTCTGTGACAACAGGTATATCTGAGCTGGTTGCTGAAGTATTCCAATATTCCAGAACATTCCTGAGAGTATCTGGCACATGATAGGCACTCAATAAGCATTTGTTGAATAAATGAAAGTCTAGCACTGTGGTAGGTGCGTCATATACACTGTCTTCTTTGAGCTGCATATACCCTCCCTATAAATAATTATTGCCATTTACCAGATGAGGAAACCGAGGCCCAGAGGTTCAGGTGCTTGCCTGAGTCCCCAGAGATAGAAAATGGTGAGGCTGGAGTTCAAACTCAGGTCTGTCAGACTCTGTAGTCACCTTCCACCGAAAACTAGGGGTGAGACTCTTTCCCAAGGTCCCGGACAGCAGCCCTCACCATTTCGACCGCAGCCTGATGGAGCGGATCCTGGCTTTCATACCTTCACACCCACCCCCCACCCCACCCCCACTCCCTGAGCTGACCCGTCCATCACCTCATTGCTGATGGTGGAGTCCCGGTGCATCATCCGGTGCAGGTGACCATCCAGGCTGGCCCCTGATGAGCATTTGGCCAGGGCGGCTGCATGGGACTCCCGCTCCCTCTGCCGCACGATCGCCTCACAGCCCAACCATTCGGCCATGGTCTGTGTGTAGCAGGCGTGAATCTGCTCATCCACCTGCCGGGGCAGACACAAGGTCACCCAAAGTGTGAGGATCCCTGGGGACAGCCGACCTGACCAGGAAGACCAGGTGGCCCTGACCTGGGATCCGGAGCTCTGCAAACAGCCGTCCTACCTGCATGGCACAACGTCCAAGCAACATTAACTGAGCACCTACTATGCCCCAGGCACTGGCTAGGCCCTGGGGATACAGAACAGTGAGCAAGGCTCCTCCTTTCTTTCAACCCTTCCTCCCTCCCTTCCTATCTCATTAATAACGTTTCTATTTCTACGTGCTGACAGGGTAACACAGGGTTAAATTAGGTATATTGTTAAAACTCATGTCACTTTGATGAAAAGGCACACACGGGTACCAAACATGCACGTGAGCAGATGCAAAACCCGGGGAGAGTACTAACAGAGTGTGTATTTTAGTGAGTGATATTCTGTTGACGTTAATGTTCTGGTCTGATAACACACTGCAGTTCAGTTTTCACTGGGGAAAGCCAGCTGATAGGTACAGAGGACTTCTATATTATTGTTATTATTAGTCTTAAACAAAAGTACTTATTTATTTACCCTTAGAGAAAAGGGAAGGGAGAAAAAAGAGAGGGAGAGAAACAATGTGCGAGAGAAACATCAATCAGATGCCTCTCGAGTGCCCACAACCGGGGACCTGGCCCACAACACAGGTGTGTGCCCTGACTGGGAATCGAACTGGAGACGCCTCGGTTTGCAGGAAGATGCCCAACCCATAAGCCAGACCAGTCAGGACACCTCTATAGTATTATTATTGCTATGCCTGGTGAACTTTTATTTCAAAATAAAGGTAAAGTTATTCATTGCATCAGTTTCTTTTCACTTTTAAAAAATGCAATTACTAAAACATTTAGAACTACAGTGTGGTGTTGGCTGAAGCTCACTAATACAGTGCAGTACCTATCAATGGGACAGAGCAGAGACCCCCCCACTCACATGCCCACTGATTGGGGACTAAGGTGACAGAGCAGTTCAATGGAGGAAGAAGAGCCCTTTCCACACACGGTGCTGGAGCAGCTGCACCTGCACAGGCAGGAGTGAGCCTCGACCTGAACCACACACAGTGCACAGAGATGACGTCAAAGTGGGTCACAGACTTAAACGGAAAAAGCTAAACTATAAACATTTTTAAAAAGAAACAGAAGATCTTCCGGATATAGGACAAACAGTTCTTAAGACTTGGACACCAAAACCACAATCTATCAAGGAAAAAAATCAATAAATTGAACCTCATCAAAAATCTTAAAATCTGTTATGCAAAAGACCCTGTTAAGATGAAAAGACAAAAAATTCAAACTGGGAGGAAACATTTGCAAATCACAAATCCAACAATGAATTCATATCTAGAGTATATAAAGAACTCTCAAATCCAAGGGTAAAAAAGCAAACAATTCAACTTGAAAATGGACAGATGCCATTAGTTGACACTTCATCAAAGACACACAGATGGGAAGCAACCACATGCAAAGATGTTCCATGTCACTAGCCACTGGGAAACTGAAACACCATTTGCACACCTGTCTGAATGGCTGACATAAAAAACAGTGACACCACCACACCCCGGCGAGGATGCAGCTGTGGATAACTCACACATCGCTGCTGGAAATACACAACGGTACAGTCACCGCAAAAGCACACCAGTGCCTTATAAAATGAGACGTGCAAAACGAGGCGTTTATCAGTTTCTTATAAAACTAACCACCGGACCTGACAACTGCACTCCTGAGCGCACATCCCCGAGAAGCGACCACTGATGCCCACGTGAAAACCCACACACGGATGCTCACTGCACATTTAGTTGTGACGGCCGAAAAACTGGCAACAGCCCCCGACCCACCAGCAGGCGGGGAGGTGAACACGCCGTGGGGCGCCCGTGCCATGGAACACTGCCCAGCATGAGGGGGAACCCACTGTCGACCCACACAACGACCTGGATGGTTCGCCAGGAAATTACGTTCAATGGAAAAGTCAACCCCAAAAGGTCCTTTGTTGTGTGATCCCATTTACTCACCATTCTTGAAAGGACAAAGTTACAAAAATGGAGAACAGGTTAGTGGTTTCTGGGGGTTGGGGACAGGGCTGGGTGGGAGGCACAAGGACCCTCATAGCAGCTGAAGAGCTCAGTGTGGTGGTGACCCACAAACCTCCCTGTGTGACAGAACTGTATGGAACTACAAACACACACACAGAGACGAACAAGTACGAGTAAGCGGGAAGCTTGAATAAGATGGGTGGTAGAGTGCCGTTGTCAACACCCTGGTGGTGATGCTGTTCCGTGTAGTTCTGCAAGATGTCACTATTGGGGGAAATTGAATACAGAATACATGACATCCCTCTGCATTATTTCTTATAACTGTGTGTGGACCTACAATTACCTCAAAATAAAAAGTTTATTTAAAAATATGGCATCTGTGTCTTGCACTGTATTTCTATTGGACAGCGCCACCCTTGCGCTCCCTGGCTCCTCCATCTCTCTGCCTGACCTCAGTACAATGAGGGACCAGAGCTCCCCAGCCCCACGGTACCTGGCTCCTTAGGTTGCCCATGGGGGTGACTAACCTCCTTCCTTTCTGTCTCTGTCATCCCGAACTGGTAGTGGCCCAGCAGGAAGGGCCACACGGCCTTGCGGATCTCGGGCTGGACTCCCCCGTAGTAGACAAGACGCAGCAGCTCCTGCTCCTCGCAGCTCTGCGGTGGGAGTGGGGAGAGCAGAGGGGGCGGTCAACAGTGGGGCAGACCGTGCACCCCGGCAGTTCTGCTTCTCAGACCCGGTTCTTAGACATCCTGCCATGAAGGAGCACAGCCAAATGTACCCAACGTCCACTATGCCACATTACGACAGGATGAACCCTGGGATCCCCGACAGGAAAACTGCACACCCCCAGCAGGGAGACAGCTCGGAGTCAAAAGGGCAGGGGTGCATCTGCAAGCGTCCATGCGAAACGGTGCTTGATGTGTTAAGTGGAACAAAGCGAGATGTAGATCACGTCTAGCGTGAACTCATTTTGTTAAAAAAAAAGAGCCAATTTTTTTCTGTTAAGTAGAAATTTACATTTCTACTTAAATTTTGGTCAATTTTGTATACCAGGCTCATTTGGGAATATCATCTTGGAGTTTTTAATCTTGACGAAAGCTCTAAGTAAATTGTCTTAAAGCAAATGAGTACACAATGAACATTGGCAGCTGGTTCTGCGTACACTTACTACCAGGGGAGCACGGGAGGGTGACTTTAACAACTGTTTGCTCTGTTGTGGAGATTTTTCTCTAATTTTTTAATATTCATTTTCGGGCAAAGGCTTTGCGGATGCAGTTAGTGAGGCCGAAGGACCAGCAGCAGGTCCCGTCTGTGTGTGTGAGGCACCAATGACCACTGCAAGGCTGCCCTGAAGGGCTCTGGGGTCCTGTTCACTCTCGCTGCTTAAAAGCGTATTTCACAGCTTAGTGCTAGTCTTCGATGTATCCAACCACAAGGGCAAAAACAGCCACTCTTTTTGTCCCTGCTGGAAATGTGGGTTCGTATTATGTAAATGGCCTTGTCAAAGCTGTTTAAAAATGAGAGGACTAATTTGTGGCGGAGGCTGTGAACTCTTCATCAAAAACCCACATCCTTTTCTCCTGGAATCCATAGTTGGACTCCATTTCCCAGCCCCCCTTGCAGTTAGGTACGGCCATGTGACTGGGCTCTGGCCATTGGGATGCGAGAGGAAGTGATGTGAGCAGTTTCCAAGCCAGGGCTTTAAAGAAGCAGGTGTGTTCTCCTCACACTCCATTTCTCCTCTGCTCCCTGGAGGCAGGTGATCCCCCAGTCCCTGGAGGATGGAAGGGCCATGAGACTGACAGCCAGCTCTGGAGGGCGGAGAGGTGCCCACTCAGTGGGAATGTTCAGTGAGCAAGAAATATACCCCTGTGGTGTCAATCAGCTGAAAGGGCAGAGACTGTTTGTCACTGCAGTTCCATCTACCTTAATGCAACAACGAAACCAGGAACAGGGAAATCATGGCCAGGCCGGTTGTAAAAGGACTGCAAAAACAGCAGATGAGAAATACTCATTTTTGACTGATTCACTAAGTCAACCGATTTGTCCTCAGACCAGTGCCTCCTAAACGGGGGAGATCATTAGAAGCATTTGGGGAACTTTCAAAGTGACATAAACTCTCGGGCTCCACTCCCAGAGATGCTCCCTCAGCAAAGCTGGAGTGGAGCCCAGACGTGTGTAAATCTTTCTGACTCCTCGGGAAACGTGCTCTGGTGGGCGGAGGGGTGGGGAACATCGGGACCTTTGCAGGAAGCAGGCTGGCACACCTATTTAAATATTAAATGCACATCAATCAGTTTTATTTCTAGGAATCTTCTCACACAATAAAAGCACTAGTACAGAAAGGATTATGCTTATAAAGACGTCAATGACAGCACTGTTTGACATGGTTTCGTAAAAAGGGAGGGGCCGATGTCTATCATTAGGGAAGAATTAGAATGAATCACGGCCCACCCACCCAGGAGGTGCCAGAGCACTAACATTCAGTATTTCACCTAGAGATTTGAAAGTACATTCTTAACACAGAATTTGGTTACTTAACATGCAAGTATGTCGCCTCATTAAAAAAATAAGACTACAGATACGTCTATATAGATATATTTGTGTCTGGAGGTATATGAGCATAGACAACATCTGGTAGGGCCTACACCAACCAGTCCTATTTAGCGAGGCAGGGGGTCCGACCCAGAGGGGCAGAGCAGAGACACGGTTTTAATTGTCCTGTGAAAGACTCTCCTGCACAGCCGAACCCCAGACCGGTTCCTCTGAGCCCTCTCGCTGACCAGGCCTCATCCTGTCCCCGCCTGCCTGGCCCAGGGGTAGCAAAAACCCTGTCGTCAGAGATCCTGGATATCTGATCAGGACCGTCACCCCCACCCTTCACGCAAGGCAGGCCTGTCCTTGGCAGGAGTCCCCACCCTCGATGTCTCCTGTTAGTGCCGTCCTGTCCACTGGCCCCTCACTCTGCTCATTGGCCGCAAGTCAACGGCTGAATGTACTGTACGTGGAATTGAGCTAAGTTCCATACTGACATCTGGTTCCCCCTTTGCAGTGGTACTGAATAAAATCTGTCTTTACAGCCAAAAAGTAAAGATAAAAATAAAACATAAAAGTGTCTATTCCTTATGCACGATTTGCTTTCTTCATTCTCTGAATCATTCCAGTCAATAGGCATTCCTCCTGCAATTTAGAAAAGCAATTGTTTTGGGCAAAAATGTAAAACCACCCTTGTATTTGTCCAGATTTGGGAACGAGGTTGTTTTCCTCACCAGGTCCGCCAGCAGTCCCAGACCAACACACAGCACAGCCCGTTCCCCACCGCGGGGAAGCCGGCCTGGGGGGCTGGCGCCGGGTGTGCGCCAGCTTGGCCTCCCGGGCTGAGGGGAAAGGCGCCGGCTGCCGGAGCCATGGGGTTTACCAGCACGGAGGAAGCAGCTGTGCCTTCCCAAAGTCTTTGCCAACGCCTGCCCTCAGCAGCAGTTACACCAGCATCTTTCAAAGTGGATTCCACCTCCCACCAGCCGTGGGAGGCATCTAACAAAGGCTTCCGTGGCCAAATGCATCTGAGGGGGTGTTGCATGTGCCCTCCCAGGAGCCCCCAATTTCCTGAGTGTCGCGAGCACGTTAGCATAGTCGAGGTTCAAAAAAATCATTCAGGAAAGCTATTTAATCTTATTTCCCAAAGTATATGACTATGACACTTTTTTTCAAACATACGCATTTTCCTTCAGGGACACGTGTTAGTCTAGAAAGAAAACCTCGGAAATCTATCTCCATGTGAAATACACAAACTGTAGAATCTCCGGTGCTAACACAGCAGCAGGAGGAAGGGTTTCCAATGGTGGAGCGGTTTTCTGGGCCCAGCTGTCTCCCTCTCACTTGGCTACTCTCACCATTCCAAGGAGACTCAACTGGATTATAAATTCCTTCTCACGGGGGCCTCACAGCACCTTGTGCGGGACTGAGCATGCAGCTGATGCTGAATAAAAGCTTAGTGACTGACCGGTTTTTACTCCTTCTAGATGAGGATGAGTATTTTCCATCCTCCTTGACCCTCACCCCAGTGGGCGGCAGCAGGCCATGGGGGTTGGAACTCTCAAGAAGAGGAGGGACCTTTAATTTGGGGACGAAGAACTCAAGGACGGCACAGCATCCTTGACCCCCCACAGGCAGGTGGGTCTGTCTCTCCCGCCCCCGCCCCCTGCGGTCTCTGCCCCACCACGGCCACCAGGGCCGAGCCTTACTGAGCTGTCCCGCAGGTACTGCTCCCAGATGCCAGCAGTCAGCCCGCGTCCAGCATCGCACGGCAGGTCCGCAGACACGATCCTGTGATTGACCAGGGCTGACAGGTGGGTCCTCACGGTGGACAGGTGTCTGCAGTATGCAAGCCCTGTGGGGGCAGAGAGGGCCGGGGTCATCGTCCACCACCCAGCCCTTCTGACCTTGCTACCTGGCACCCCCAAGTGCTGTCCACAACCGTACTGAACCCTCATGACTCAGCCAGTTCTCACCACCCCCTTTCCAGGTAAGAAAGGTTAAGCTCAGAGGGGTACAGTCACTTGTTGGCTTGACTGCTGAACAGCTCTGTGACCCTGGGGAGGTCCTGTTGCCTCTCTCAACCTCGCTCTGGGTGACGCCACCTCCTCTGCCGGAATCCAAGGCATTTAATGCACAGGCTTGAGGTGAGAGGGGGCTGCGACCCTGCGTGCTCACTGTGCCCATGGGTGCCTCCGGTCCACGTGGAAAGAGGAGGATGGGGAGGCAGGGCTGGGTCAGGAGGGTCCCGGCAATCATGACCGAGATGCTGAGGGTGCCAGTTTGCCTTCAAAGACGACCCTGCCTGCCAACCTTCACCCGATCCACTCGGGCACAGCGCCCGCCACATAAGGGCCACTCAGGAAGTACTAGCTTGTGTTCGTTTAGACTGAGTCCCTTTCTTTTGGCTTTCGCCCACCGACGCATCCTGAGAGAGGACCCTGGGCCTCCCAGAGCCTGAGGACTTGCCCCTGCCAACAATGGGGATAATGACGATGATGAGGATGATGACAATGATGGCGACGATGATAATGATGTAATAGGTAACACCTGCACAGCGAATACTACGTCACAGGGAGCTGTCCCCAGAGCTTACATAACCTAACTCATTTCATTCTCTCCATAGCAGGTGTCCTTATCATCCCTGGATTACAAATGAAGAAACTGAGGCACGGACTGGTTTTGTCACTTGCTCAGGTCACACTGCTAGGAAACGGGGAGTTGGGATTTGAACCCAAACTGCCTGGCTCCAGAGCCTGGGCTCTCAACCAGCATCAGGGATGAGCCCCACCGTGTGATGGCGCCATTCGAGACCCCTCCCCGCCCCTCCCCTGCCTCCCGGAAGCTCTTCCCTTTGGGCTCCATAAATGCTCATCCACTGTCGGCTCCGCGCCTGGCCCTGCGTTACGCCCTGGGGATGGGCGGTAACAGAACAGGCAAAAACCTCGATCTTGGGGAACCCGTGCTCTCTCCGCCTCCCCAGGCAGTAGAAGGTAGAAACTGCGTGGCCCTTTCACGGGCCACGCAGGATGTGTCAACACTTTCCTACAGTCCCGCACCTGCTAAGAACTGACAGGACAGAGTAGAAAAAGCAGAAAAACAGAGCATGTGCAGACAGACAGGCCTGCGTTTCGGCCCCAGCTCTGTGGCTTATTAGCTGTGTAACCTTGGGCAAGCCACTTAGCCTCTCTGTGCCTTAGTTTCCTCATCTGTTACAATGAAACAGTCAGAGTACTTATATTATGCATTTAGTTTTTAAGTTTTTTGGAAGGGACCGGGCCACCTTTCCCTTCTGCTCCTGCCCATGGGGGAAGGGAGCTGGCACCCGTGATGGGCAACTGAGCACCCGTGACTGGCAAGGCTGGGTGCTCGGGACTTTATACACGCATCTCATTCAGCCTTGAAAACACTCTAAGGTGGGTGCTGGGAATGCAACGGTGATTAAGCCACACGCCTGCCACCAAGGAACCCCATTGTTCCCTGCCCTCTCTTAGGCCAAAGGATAATGTTTATCCCCAATCTGTACATGAGGAAGTTGAGGCTCAGAGAAGTTAATGTAACTTCACCAAAACCAGGCGTCTAGGAAATAAAGGAGCAGCGGCCCAAACTCCAGAGCCAGGCTCCTTCCCCTGATAATGCTGGCACACAGTAGGCACTCAATGAATGCTCCCTGGAGACCATAATGGCAAACGAGGTCAATACGCACATCCATAGAAGGCTCTGGAAAGGATCTGGTACTTCATGTTGTCACAGAGAAGCTTCAGGGGAGCCCTGCAGGTGGAGGAAAAGGGAGACACTTAGATCGAACCCCCACACAACCCAGCTTTCCTGGAGAGGAGGAGCACAACTCGTTATCTCTAGGAGCAGATTACAATGGACCAGTCAAGGGGACTTCGGGGTATTGTTTCTACCCACACAGCCTCACTACCCTGCAATCAGCTTGGGAGTCACTGCCCAACTCTGTCCCAGTGACTTGGGTGGCCTGATTCTACCCAGTACTTGACTCAGGTTGGAGTCACAGTGATTGGGTAAGAGGTGGTCACGTGATCCAACCTAGGCCAATGAGAATCAGCCCTGGGACTTTTGTTGGAACTGGGAAACAGACACTCATTTCCCTGATTGAGTTCCTAAGCCAATGAGATATGGGGCAGTGGCAGCTGGGATCCATTTTTGCTATTGCACAGAAGGGTGGGTCTGAGAATGAAACTATCATAGGAGCAGAGGCAAGAGTTAAAAAAACAGAGAGGTTCCTGTTTTGAGAATCTGGACCCAGCCATACCTGAAGCCACTACACCTGTGGATTTCTCAACTCTGTTGCAGATTTTCCTTTTTACTTGAACAAGTTTGAATTTGGTTCCTGAAACTTTTCAGAAAGAGTTCTGACTTCTAAGTGACCCAACTGACCGAAACAGAGCCAGATGGGGAATCAGAGTCTGACTGTCTGCAAAGTCAGTGATGCCTCAGAAATTTCTCTTGCATGGGAATTGAGGGGGGGGGGGCATTTTGGCAGAACGAGGAGAGAGGAATAAGGCCCGAGCATTGTTGAAGAAAAAAAAAAAAAAAAGGCCTGCTGAAGGGAGTGTTGTGCATCCTTGCAAAGAACACAGTAGAGCAATATCTGCATATTTATCCTGAAGGCATTCAGGGGACACCCAACAAAATCCAGGAGACAGGAGGAAGCACAGCTGAACTTAACGCCTCCAGTTATACATGGAGGCATTAAACTTTAAAGAAACCCTCTTGGTGCCCTCAGGCTGATGAGGCTCAGGCTTGCTCAGATTACATGAGAACAGCATCTCACTGACAGCTGTCCCACAGTGTACCTGGCTATCTGCAAGGTGGTGAGCTCCCTGTCACTAGAGGTATGTAAGCAGATACAACAAGAGGAGGTACTAGGTTAGCACAGCATTTTTCAGTGGTCCACAGACCGCCAGCTCATAATCACTCGGAATTTCTCCTACTCAAGCAGGGCCTCTAGGAAGTTGTCCAGGAACCAGCAGGGTTTGCTGCCTCCACCAGGCAAGTCTGATGCACATTACAATGTGAAACTCTCCAGTTATAATGGCACTTCTCGGACTTGCAAGTATACATGCAATCTCAGGATCTTGTTAAATGCAGATTCTGCGTCAGCAGGCCTGGGGTGAGGGCCTGACAATCTGCCCAGGTGATGATGTTTCCGCGGACCACATGCTGAAAGCCAGGGCTTTGAAGGGCTTCAACAGTTTAAATGCGGCCCCACCCTTGATGTTCCTACGGCTGAAGACTGACCACCCATTGGGACAGAGACCCAGCAGGCTGGGTCGAGGGGGAAGCAAGACCATTCTCATCAGTAGGCTGGGTAGTTCCAAAGAGCCCAAAGCTCTATGTGCAAGGAAAGAGCTGACCTGGGGATTTAACTTCATACAACAGTGTATCACTCGGTGAGCATGACCATGTGCCGGGTACCACGTGTTGGCCACTTCGAAACTTCATCTGAACTTTCCTTACAACGGCCCCAAGAAAGTAAGCATCTGTGTCCCCATTTGGTGGAGGAGCAAACCAAGGTGTGCGTGGCCGTCATTAAGCATTATTTCTGGTTTCTGCCTTCGAGGAGCATGAGAGAAATGCACTTCCTGGTCCCTCGTGAACAGGTGCGAGTGGCAATGACAGGGGCCCCTCCAAGTCCCTCCAAGCTGCCTTTCCCTCATCACTGTGATGGGCAATATTCAAGGGGGTGGTGGCTCCATCAGCAGGGACCTTTAAGGTGCAGAAAGAAGAGTCCCCACCCAACCCATAAGACACACGGCCTGCATGACAAATCAACCTTTGCTGTAACAGCCCCTGAGATTGTAGGACTGTTTGTTGTGGTACCACAACTTGTTCATCCTGACTGACGCCTGCAAGGAAGTTCCAACAGCCAGGACTTGACGAGGGTAGGACTTAACCTAGCCCTGGATGACCCCAGAGCTTCTGAAGTCAGTGCCAGGCAAGTAATGGGAACCTCCAGATCTTTGGTAAATCCTCCCACTTCCTCCTCCCACAGCTCAAGCCCCTCCTACCTCTCGTGGTTGCAGCCATTGGTGGAGCTCCCATCAGCCGAGCCACTCTGAGAACAGGATGAGCAAGAGGACTTGTGGGAGCTGGGCTGCCACAGGGGTGGCAGGTTGCTCACGGAGACATCCATCAGGTCCTGGGGCACTGGGGTGGGCAGAAGAGGCAGAGGAATGGCCCTGGGTGAGCCCATGTGGGTTACAGAAGCCTCACCCCAAAACACACAGCTCACTCCTAAGCCAGCACAGGCATACAAAGCCCCTGAACGTCACAGTGGGAAAAAGCGACCCCAATCATTGTCTGACCCAAGTCCTTGAGCCCGCCTGATCCAATGAAAGCCACCACCAAGATTTGGGGCCCCCGGCAGACGGACAGAGCTGATGACAGCGAAGAGACAGGAAGAAAACACAGAGAGAGACCAGAGCCAAGGAATCAGGTCCCGTGCCCAGAGCAGTCCAAGCCTCACGCCATGTTGTCACTCAGCTACCCTCACAGGGGGCGGACCTGAAGAAAGGGGCCCCTCTGGGGGTTTCAGGGGAAGGCGGATAGTCTCCGGCCCCCACAGGTAGACTCGTTGAGTGGGAGAGTCTCTGCTGGTGGGACAGAGGGACCCTGACCTATCTGAAGAGACAGGGCCCACGAAGGTAGGAACCAGCGGCGTCCTTCAGGGAGGCGGGTGCTGGCACTGTCCATGGTCCTGAACCGAACAGCGGCTCCACCAACTGGTCTCAGACAGGCTGGCGACCCGCCACCGTCATGAAGGCGGCTTGTTATCACGTCATAAGCCTGTATCCCACCCCTGACCCCTGAATTAAAACCCTCTGGTGCTACAGCCCACGAGCCTGTGTTTCAGAAACCGTTTTGATAGAGCGGCTGCATTTGAGAACCAACAAGGCATGGCTGCTCTCCTAACTCCCGCTGCTTCCTGATGAGCTGCCCCCAGGACACAGAGCCGTTTCCCTCCCAGCTTTCTCTCCCAGCTCCGGGCAAACCCCAGCGTCTGCGATGCTGCAGAACAAACGCACCGGTGACGTGTACGTGACAGTTTCTACAGCTAACCTGCTGGCCTCTCAGCAGACTGAGACAGGTGCAAAAAAATTATCTTCTCTAGCACAAGGCTCAGGAAACGTTTTCTGTGTGCGTAAAGCCAAGAGGAAAATATTTTGGGGCTTGTGAGCCACCTGGTTGCTATGGTGACCACTCAACTCTGCTGTCGCAGGGTAAATGTAGCCATGAACGAAATGTAAACAAATGAGTGTGGGTGTGTTCCAATAAAACTTTATTTATGGGTACTGGGATGTGAGTTTCATGCCATTTTCACCTGTCAGAAAATATACTGTGCTTTTGATTTTCTTCAGTTATTAAGAAATGTGAAAACCACTCCCAGCTCACGGCTGCACAGCTGAGGCTGATGTGGCCTGGGGGCCACCGTGCGCCGAGCCCTGCGCTGGCCAATCAGGAGGATGCGTCCTTGCCCCACGTGCCACTTGTCCTCTAGGACGGTGGGGAGTGCCTGGCCTCTCCCCTGGGCTCCAAGGGGCGGGGGCATAAATGGACTCGGCCCTACTTGTCATCAGAGCTCGGTGGTTGATGGAGCCTGTCCCCACCTGATGACATCATAGAAAGCGGCCCCGAGAATAAGGTTTAGGGAGCAACTGCAAGTGGCTCGTTACACTACTGCCCCCCAGCAGACTCTCCAATGAGCTCGCAGAGAAAGACCAGCAAGCCCTGTATGTTCCAGAAAAATGGCCCCAGGTCTTCGTCCATCTCAGAGAAACAGTGACCAGCTGTGCCCAGGGGTGGCGAGCACACTCTGCCCCCAGCGCTTCCCCCCGCCCCCCACGACCCCGTAGGCATCGCCAGGGGATCCCTTCCCTACCGAACCCACGACACTCCACGCTGCCTCCTGCAGGGCACAGGCGGGACCGCGCAAGGGCAGCGAGTTGTCTCTCGCCTCCATCTCCACTGGGACCAGCGCTCAAATGACAACATGGCAGAGGTGGCCGGCACCCAGCCCCAGGAATGGGGGATCCAGACATTACTGGGGGGCTGCTGCTTCAAGCCCGGCGTGGGGAGGGTGGTGTCCCGTCCGGTTTGCGCCCAATGACTGTCCCTGGCCACCACCAGCACGGACCGGCCCACGGAAACTGCCATCCAGGCAGGGCCCACGGAGACGGGGGACGTGCTGCCCACGGGGTCGGCAACAACTTGAGACACAAAACAAAAGGCATCGGTGAGTTGGAAGGTCTGAGCTGGGCAGAAAGCTGGAACGACTAGAAGAAACAGTTCCTGGGGGCGTGAACCTTTCCCCTGCCCTGCCCCGCAATGCTGGACAGAGGAACCTGCCTTACCACCCGAACGACCCAGCGAGGGATGCACTTCTCCCATTTTGTAGGAAAGAAAACTGAGGTTCGGAGTGATGAACAACTTACTCAGCCTGGTTCCCAGGCAGTAACTGGCATGGCTGGTCTTTTTGACTGAAGTCCCCCCTCTCTCCACTAATAATGGCTACAGCTTACTGAGCCCAAGTACGACCCCTTTCACAGGTCAGAAAACTGAGGCCTGCGGTATCTAAGCTGCATGCCCAAGACCACCCAGCTGGTAAGTGGTGAAGCCGAGACTTCAACCCAGGGCATGAGACCCGGAGATCCTATCCCCTGGGCAACTGGGGCTCCATCCCCTGGGGGGCCTCTGGGAGCCGGGCAGAGCGCATTTCAGAGTTTTTTCCACTGACAACAGGGAGGGAGCTGGGCACTGGCTCCCCGTCACTGCTCTGCACCCCATCCACGGGCAGAGGAACCAAGGTGGCCAGAGAAACCCCTCGGGCAAAGAGACCAAGTCTGGAGCCGGCAGTGGGGTGGCGTGCACAGAAGAGTGGGGGTGGGCACGGCTGGCATCTCTCCACTGGCACATGCGGGGCCATAGAGGCCAATGCTGATTGTCCCCAAATAAGGGGCACCCTGCACCCAGCCCGGCTTCCAGCAAGAGCCTACACATAATTTGTTGGAGGATGAGCCCCCAGCAGCGAGTTTTCTGGGATGGTGGCCCCAGGGCCATCCTGTCCTCACAAATGCATCAGCTCTCTGGTGGGGATGCAAGCCATGGACAGCCTGAGGTGGCTCCACACCCCGATCCTGGGCAGGAATGGACATGGTGATGAACACTTTGGGACACTCTATGGCTCTTAATGATGCAGCAACATGAGGCTCTGCTCCCAATGGGCCACAAATGAAAACACACTCAGCCACATAAGACTGCACTGCCCCGCACCCCGATCCACCTCAGTGGTGGATGAGGGAGGGAGTACTAAGCGGCTGGGCAAACTGCGTACAACCTTACTGGGAAGGACGCCTGCTTTCAAAAGAGCCCCTCACTGCCCACCAGAGGCCACTGAAGCAAAGGGAAGCTCAGAGCCATCACCCATCAAATGGGACCACTGGGGCCACAGAGAGTTAAAGAAAATGAGGTTAATGGAAAGAACCTATAACGTAATACTGACTTGTTTAACAGATATCCATATGGTGCCTCATAAGTGCCCGCCTCCTTCCAAGAACTTTTCCAGTATTAATGTACTTACTCCTAACGACAGCCCGCAGTGATGATAATCTTAATAGCAACAGTCTCCACTCACTAGGCATCAGTTTCAGGACGGTCACCAGCAAACTGATGGATGTATTAATAATCATCATCTCCTGTGCTAGTGCCGAGCGCTTTGCTTCGCTCTGCTGCTCTGTCATTTACTGAGTGCCTACTGTGTGCAAGGCCTTATTCTATGGGTTGTACACTGATTACCTCAGTACCTCATTGAACCCTTACAACATGTTAAAGTACAATAACTTAACAGCAGCTAACGCTTGGGAGTTCTCTGTGCCAAGCGCCTTATCTCATTTAATCCTCCCAAGGCCCTATGAAGTAGGTACTATCAACACCCCCACTTTACAGATGATGAAACCGAGGCACTGAGTTCAAGTGACTCGCTCAAGCTCAATCAGGATTCCAGAGCCCACCTCACTGCCACTGCCCCATGTACCTCCCAGCCAGCAGCATCAGCATCCTTATCAGCTAAGCAGAGTGGTTATCTGTTCTCATCTGGGGGAAAACTGAAGCTGCCAAGACATAAACTTCCTGATTCCAGGCCCCCTGCAGGTCCCAGTATCCAGACCTCTGGCCGGTATTTGCAAAGGCCTCAGTTCCGGGACCGGCCGGCAGGTGGCTCCCTGGGCCCAGGGGCGGGGCGGCTCACCGAACTCCGACTGCAGGCTGGGGTAGACGATCCTGAACACGTAATCCGTGGCCTCGTCGTCTTCCTTGTCTGAGGACGTGGACTCGGCGGAGCCCTGAGGGCTTCGCTTGCGCAGTTTAGGAAATACTTTGCCCTGAAAGAACACGTCCCCGTGCACAGTCCCTAGAACACGCCCATCCCTCAGCAGCATGGCCCGAGGGTCTCGATGGGGTGTGAGTGAGCCCATAAAGCCACGTGAGGGCCAATGGGCAAGAACGACCGTGGCCCACGGCTGCCCAACCCCCCAGCTTCCCTTTGCCCCCACGATCACTCACCTTTCCCCGCTGAGACCAGAGCGGTGGATCCAGCTGCCCGTGAGGGAGCAGCCCGTTCTCCAGGCACGAGAGGAACTGCAGGAGGTGCCCTCCCTTGGGGAAGTGGAAGGGCGGCCTCTGGATCCCATCCTGGCTGACCAGCACCACCGTCCCACCGCTGTCCACTGCCACCGTGACCCGGCACAGAAGACCCAGCAGGAAGTCACTATGAGGCATGGTGACGGGCCCTCCCGGCTGACACTCCACCCCCAGACATGCTGAGCTGGCCACGTGGACCTGCTCTGAGCCTCTGGCGAAGGCCTGGACCAAGGCCAGGGGCGGTTTTGCCTCCCCGGGGGCCCTTTCATCCCACCTCCCATCGCTGCTGACTGGGGGCTGTAGGACACGGGCAAGAGGAGTGTGGTTGGCCTCCCTTCGGCCACCCGCCAATGCCCCCAAACACCCCCTACAGATCTACCAGACCTATTCTTGTACGGAGGCTTTCAGATCTACCCCTCCTCCGGGCAGCGGTTAACTGCCGCTCGCCTGTACAGAACACTTACTCGACATAAGCACATTACATTAAAGGAGCCATGTTATTGTGCAGTACTCAAAATGTAAGACATGGTATTGCCTATTTTACAAATGATAAACCCAAGGCTCAGAGAGGTTATGTATCTTGCCAAGAGTGACACAGCTAGTAAGTGGCAGGGCCTGGATTTGAACTCAGATCCGTCTCATTAAATATGCTGAAATGTTCTATGCCTTGGTGGGTCACAGACCCCTTGTTTTCCAGAGCAGGACTGTCTGCTTGTTATGAATGTACCTTCTTTCAGCTTTAAAGGGGGACTCTCGTTATTAATCCCAGTCTGCCGAGCACTGACTTTGGAGTGACAAAAACCTGGGTTCAAGTCCAGGCTCTGGAACTCACAGGCTGTGTGTCTGTGTGCCACGCTGCTTCCTTCCCTGAGGACTGGGAATGACAGGGCCCCTATCCCTGGACTGTGGTGTTGATTAAATAACAAGCATGTACATTTTCAGAACCACGCCTGGTACTCAGAAGCAGAGTAATAGCAATGAACACCCCAGTTTGACACTGAGCCCCTAAACACATCGCTTGGTCCTCTCAGTGACCCCACTGAGAGGAAACCGAGGCTCAGTGAGAAGCCCCTTGTCGGGGGCTGCACAGGCGACGAGGGGTGAGGCAGGCAGGGGTCCAGATGGAACGCCCCAGCCCCGCGCCCCCGCGGCAGTCCCTACCTTGCTGGTGGCAGTGCAGATAGACGATCTCCTCCAGGCGGATGGTCACGGCATAGTCCCAGTAGACGCTGAAAGGGGGGGTTTGGACCTGCAGGACGTCTGCCCGCCTCACCGTGGGAAGGGCCCAGGGCACACCCAGGGGCTCCTCTAGCCTTTCCACCAGGACCCGCTTGTCCCCAACATGTGTATCACAGTCTTCCCGGACCCTATGTCCCTTTCTGCAGTCCCAACTTTCTAAGGACTCCCTCCTCCCTTGCCCCAGTCCACGTGGCTGAGGCCTGCCTCACACACCTTCCACCCCTGAACTCCAGGAACAGCCACCTGACAAGAAGCCTGACCAATCAGCATATTCCACTGCTCTGGCTACAGTGATTGGTTCAGGGGTGGGTGGCCCTGTGATGCAAGCAGAACCAATAAGACTCAATCATTGGATTTCTGTTAGAATTACTGCTAAGAGAGGCTCCTTTCTACTGGGAGAGTGGTAGTCAGGATGCTAGAAGCCTGGAGATGTGAGGGGGACAAAAAAAGCCTGCCTGAGAGTGGTGTCAACAAATCAGGGAAACAGAGGCAAGAGATGGAAAGTGTCCGAGTCTTCCTCATTCGAGTCTCTGGATCCAGCCCTGCCTGAAGCCGCCACCCCGAGATTTTTCAGTTCACATGCACAAATGCTTAAGTCAGCTTGAGCTTGGTTTTCTGTCACTGGTATCTGAGCCTTGACTAACTCTGACCCTAACTTCAGGCCACCCTATGTCCATGGGCAGGAGTTAGGACAGCCACTCAACAGCCTTGACTTCACGGGTCCCAGCAGTGTGACTTGATGGCTTCACCGAGCTTTAGTTTCCTCCTCTGAAAGTGGGGATGATGAGAATACCCGCTGAACAGTGTTGCTGTGAGGGTTCAATGGAATCACGTCTTTGGAAGGGCTCAACATGGCACTGACGCCTTAACAAAATATTTGGCTAATGGTCCCTGTGATTTACTCAAGGTTTGCCATTTTCAGCTCAAAGCCTACCGCTATCTTGACACAGATTGTTTTTCCCCTGTGAACACAATGGGAGGTGGGGCCACAGACACTTGGGCTTGGTGGCAGCCACAGGAAGGCACTGCTCAGGTCTCCTTCACGCGACCCCTCTGTGGGGAGCAGAGCTGACCAACGGCTTCAGAAGCCCCACCTCTGGGTGCACCACCAGCTTCGTGCCAAGGCCATGCTTCCTCCCAGCTAGGACTGAGCGCACAGAGATGCCGGTGTTGACCTATTCCTGAGCGACAGGGGACTCGGGCCAAATATTCTCAGACCTGCAATGTGTCCAAGGCTCTTCCTGCCCAGCCCTCCTTCCTCCTACTCCTCCCTCCCGGGGTCAACGAAACACATGAACAGAGCTCTGGTCACGCTCCTTGAAAAGAGTCCTCATTCTGTTGAGATGCAGATCTACAGATGAAATCCTGTGACATCTGCCTGCCGCTGCAGGACGACACGCAGAGGGGAAGGGAGGGCGGGTGGCTGTTACGGCTGGGTGACGGGTGCTCCAGTCCTACCTGCTTTTATGTTGGAAACTCTGACAGTCAAACGTTTTTGAGAAAGCAAGATGACGTAAAGGGAAAATAAGACCAGATGCGGACGCAGAGCAGCGGACACCACGGCTTCTCCCTTCCAGCTACCAAGACTCCTGGGGCTGAGCTGATCGGGCCTCCACACCTCTGCCCAGTGGCTTCCCTTCGTTCTTCCCGAAACTGTCCCTAATTGTGCCGGGACACGGGGTGCTGCAGCAGGGAATTCCCGGCCCCAAGTTTCTGTGGACCAAAGCCTTGGCTGGGTCTCGTAAATCCAGGGTATCAGGAGAGACAGCCCCGGGCCAGATGCCTACCAACCGACACTCCCTGCCTGCCTTTTGCATAGAGTGATGGGAAAGTTGGCAGCAGACGGCGGGATATTTGCCAATTCTGGGCTTGTGAAATCTTTGTTAAGAGATTTCTGGGCTGTCTTTTGGCCAGAACCTGCCTGACTCCCACACCCAAAGATTCTTCCCGTCCGTCTCTGGATTGTCCCCAGTCCTTCAGTGACCCGTGAGGCCACTGCCACAGAGAGGCTGGGCCAAGTGGCTGCAACAACCAGATGGAGCAGCGGGTAGGGTCAGGGCCCAAGGGACAGGGCACAAATGTCCCTGTGCCGGGGGATGGAAGGGGGGAAGGGACATGGCGCCCTACCTCTTCTCATAGTCCAGGTCTCCCACAGACCCGTTCATCAGCTGGTTGGGGGTCCACTTCAAGGTCATGACGTCGGCGGTCTGGTGCAGCGACAGGTATCCTGGGACGGCCTCCATGTCGTCTCTCTGTGGAGAGAGAAGGACTCAGGCCTGGCCGTAGGGTCAGAGTCCACAGGACCCAGAGGTCGGGTCACTCCCTCCAAGCCACGGTCATCTGGAAGACCCCAAGCCTCCTTCTAAGCGGCCATGCTCAGCAAAGCCATTCGCAGCCAACCACCCAGGAAAGGCTCCGAGGTCCAGCTGTGCAAGCTGCCCGCCCCCTATGCTCTGACACCCATGCTTCCCCTCTGAGGCCTGGGGCCCTGTTGCAAGGGTGGGGCCGGGGGGGCTCCTCAGAACCAGGAAGGAGCTCTGTCCCTCTCAACATCCCCCTTTCTGAAGCAGGAGACCTTCATCTACCATCATTTTAGCCAGTCCTCCAGGAGAAAAAATACAGTAGCCAGGGGCTACATCCCACTCTCCGGACATGACCCAGAAGCCCCTCCCCGAATGCCCCCCCCCACTCCCCCAGCAGCCCGGCCCTCCGCCTTCCCAGTCCGCCTGCAGTTTCTCACCTGCTCTGCCGTCTCCCAGGCGGGGAGGCAGGTGGAGGGGGTGTCTCCAAGCCTCACCCACAGAGGCGACAGCCCTCCACCAAATTCACCTCTGCGACATTTGGAGACGCAGGCACTGAGCAGCCTGGTCCGGCACACTCTGTCTCGGTGCCACCGCCCCGGCCTGCAGCCCCGGCAGGGGGCACGGCGCAGTCTCTCGCACCCCCCGTCAGTTCACATCGCAACGCCCCCGAAAGGAGGACGCCTCTTACAATCAGCAGCGTCTCACCACCGTGACGTTGCCAGTGTCTGACCTCACGCACACCGGGTCACACTGTCACTTCCGTTAAGTTTCGCCCACGGGGGTCACTACACGTATGCAGTGCGGGTGCTATTTAAAATGTCCTTGAGACTTCCGCCAAGATGGAGGCATAGGCGGAGGCGCCGTACCTCCTCACACAACCAAGTTTAGAGTCAACTAAATATTAGCAACAGAAAACACAGCCAGAACACGGAAAATTGAACTTTTCGGAAGTCTGATAACAACAAATTCTTCAGCCTGACCGGTAAGAGGGGTGAAACCAGCAGCTGGAGGAGCGGGGTTGCACAGGAAAACTCGGTCAGACGGACTCAGGTGCACGGAATCCAGGCGCAGGGTTGGACCTGGTGGGCAACCCAGCAAGCGACCAGGCGAGCGACCACGGGGGAGACAGAGGGGGAGCGGGGCTGCGGGTTGACTGTGGTCTCGCATCCGTGTGTGGATAGACAAGCAAGGGAGTGGGCGATTGGACGGGACCCAGCAGGCCCCAGTGGCAAGCGGAGGCGGAGGGCGCCGCCATTTCCTCGCTCTGACCCCACCTCCACATGCAGCGTAGCAACCCAGCAACCTGAGTGGCCCCGCCCTAGTGAACACCTGAGGCTCTGCTCCTCACCCAGTGGTACGAGAAACAGCAGAGAGGGCCGCCATTTCCCCGCTCTGACCACGCCCCCACATACAGCGTCACAACCCAGCGACCTGGGAGTCCAAGGCTCCGCTCCTCATACTTAACAGGCGTGAACAGAACAAAAATGGCTCAAGAAGAACTCAAAGCCCCAGAGCCTATAAATCTAAGCGATGAAGAAATAGCAAAACTCTCAGATGCACAGTTTAAAACACTGGTGATCAGGATCCTCACAGAACTGGTTGATTATAGCCACAAATTAGACAAACGTATGAAGGCGAAACTAATTGAAATGAATGGAATTACACAGGAAATCAATAGCGATGAAAAGGAAACTGGGTCTCAAATCAATGGAGTGGACCAGAAGAAAGCAAATAATGGCCAAACAGAAAAGAGTCAAGAAGCAAGAATTCAAAAAAATGAGGAGAGTCTTAGGAACCTCCAGGACATCTTTAAACGTTCCAACATCCGAATTATAGGGGTACCAGAAGGGGGAAATGAACAGCCACCAGTGGAAAACTTATTTGAACAAATAATAAAGGAGAATTTCCCCAATCTGGCAAAGGAAATAGACTTCCAGGAAATCCAGGAAGCTCAGAGAGTCCCAAAGAAGTTGGACCCAAGAAGCAACATACCAAGTCACATCATAATTACATTAGCCAAGATTCAAATAAAGGAGAGAATCCTAGAAGCAGCAAGAGATAAGGGGACAGTCACCTACAAAGGAGTCCCCATCAGACTGTCAGCAGATTTCTCAAAAGAGACCTTACAGGCAAGAAGGGGCTGGAAAGAGGTATTCCAAGTCATGAAATCCAAAGACCTACAACCAAGATTGCTCTATCCAGCAAAACTTTCATTTAGAATGGAAGGACAGATAAGGTGCTTCTCAGATAAGATCAAATTCAAGGAGTTCATCATCACCAAGCCCTTATTATATGAAATGCTAAAGGGACTTATCTAAGAAAAAGAAGTTAAAAAAACATGAACAGTGAAAGGACAGCAAACTCAGTTATTAACAACCACACCTAAAACAAAAGCAAACTAAAAGGACAGCTAGAGCAGGAGTGGAAACATAGAAATGAAGATCTCAAGGAGGGTTAGCAACAGGGGAGTAGGAGGAGGAGAAGGGGGGAGAAGGTACAGAAAATAAGTAGCGTAGATGGTAGATAGAAAATAGATGGGGGGGCAAGAATAGTATGGGAAATATAGAATCTAAAGAACTTGAGACACATGGTCATAAACTAAAGGGGGGTAATGGTGGGGATGGGGGGGTAGGGTGGAGGGGAATGAAGGGGGGAATAGAACAACTGCAATGGCATAATCAATAAAAATAAATAATTTAAAAAATAATAAAAAAAATAAAATGTCCTTGAAAAGATTATACCGCAACCCAGCCCTGAATGGAAAAGTTACTGGGTGTGTGGAAAGGCCAGGACTTGCAGGCACGCCCCCAGAACGAGACCTTCTGGAAAATCAACAACCAAGTGCAATGCCTGCAAGAAATACAGCACCTCCCGTGCTCTGGGTCAGAGGTCAGCAAGCTTTTTTTAAAGGGCCAGATGGGGAATAGCTCTGGCTCTGTGGGCAATACAGGCTCCGATGCTGCCCACCCCAGGCTGCCACTGCAGCGTGAAAGCAGCTACCCACGGGGTGTGAACTAGTGGGTGATGCTGGGTTCCAATACAGCTTCATAAAAACGGGGGCTGGGCTGAATTCGGCCCACGGCTATAGGGCTATTGTTAGCCCTTTCTCTTGGTGGAACAGAAAGTGATACATGGTGGAAAAATAAGGACAATGGCACCGTAAGTCAGAGAGTGATACAGAAAATGGGATCCTGAAGGCAGTGCTAGGACTGTCTTTTTTTAAAAAAAGGTTTTACGTATTTATTTTTAGAGAGAGGAGGAGGGAGGGAGAAAGAGAGGGAGAGAGAGATCCTTGTGTGAGAGAGAAACAGTTGCCTCTCGCAAACCCCCAACAGGGGGACTCCGCCCTCAACCCGGGCACGTGGCCTGACTGGGAATCAAACCAGCGACTTTTCAGTTCACAGGTCGGCGCTCAATCCACTGAGCCACACCAGCCACGGCAGTTTTAGGACTGTCTTAACTAATGTATTTCAATTATATTGTCCCTTGTGTACGTTTACAAGAGTAATGTTATTATTTTAAGAAACTATATCCAAATAAATCTCAAAGAGCTCTTCCAAAAAGTACAAAATAAAGTTTGCAAGTAGTGAAACACTGCATGTAATTTAATCTGATTTTAATTTCCTGATGGCTGTGTTTTAAAATGTTCTATAGTACATTCACGGCCTCTTAGGTCTCGGGACACAGGGACTTGCATCCATTAGGTTGGGCACTGATGCTCAGACAGAGACCTGACCTGCTCAGGGGCACCGAGTGACCGGAACTGTGACCACAGAGCTGCAGGGGAGGACGGCTCTCTCTCTACTTTCTCTCAATTAAGCCCAAACGCTACACTGACCCCAAGGTTCCTGGGAAGGGGACGGCCAAGGAGAAATCACGTGAGGGGCGTGGCTCCATGTGCTCCCTCATCTCCCATCCCCGGGGCCTGGCCCGGTGCAGAGGCACAGGGGTGACTGGAAAGTGGCAGAGACTCTGGCACCAGCCAGCCTGAATCTGAATAATAGCTCCACCCCTTAATCTACCTGCGTGGGTTCATTGTTACCATTTTATGGTAACAGCACCGGCCTCAGACGGCTGTGGTGAGGTTTAAATGAGCTGATGCAATTAAAAGCATTTAGCACGGTGCCTGACACATAGAAAGCGCTTAGTAAATGTCAGCCATGAGGACCTTTATTTTGATACCCTAGGCATCTAGCACTTAGCAGGCTGTGTATAAATGTTTGCTGGATCAGTGAAGAATAACGAGAGAGAAAGAAGGCACAGACAGCAGAGTGAACAGGTAGATGGACAGAGGGACTGGAAAGTAAACGGGCAAAGAAGTGGATGGATTGGTGGATGGATATAAACACAGGCAGATGGATGACGGGATGGTGGGAAGGCAGGAACAGGGGATGGCGGACACAGACTGGAGGAGAAGTGGCTGGCTGGCTGGAGATACTGATGGGTGGGTGGATGCAAGGGTGGATTTGGCAGCAGGAAACATTTGCATGTGGAGGAATGAAAGGGTAAATGGAAATATTGGCATATGGAGAATGAATGGATAGAGGAGATGCTGGCGGATGAACGAATAGATGGGTGAGTAGGTAAAAGGATGGATGAATGAATGAGCCACACGGAGCCAAAGGGAACTTCTCTGTAACATGGAGCCAGACCCCCAGTGGAAGATCTGGGCCCAGGACCAAGTCTCACCGGCTGAACGAGAACATTGTTCTTGCCATACAGCAGGGTGGCCCGGGAGTTCTGGTGCAGGGACTCCACGTAGTCGCGGGCGGAGAGGGACGGGCGGTCATCCATGCTGCCACTCGAGTGCCGCTTCTGGATCTGGCAGTGTGATGAGAGGGAGAGAATGAGGCCTGGAGGGACCTCCAAGGCCCACTCCATCCCCTGTGCACACGCGGCGTGGGAACTGGGCCAACTCCCGCCCAGGGTCCCAGGGCCTACCCCACTCACACAGAGGGCGGGGCGCTTGGTGGGCGAGTCCTGCCGCAGGTGCGAGCTGTGGATGCGGTGCCTCTGGACGAGCTCGTCGGCGGAGGGATCGGTCCAGAAGTGATCCGCCGTCTTCATCTTGGTGTACTCCAGCGCACAGGGGCCCACTGCAGAGCAGAGGGGCGCTGGCAACACTCCGCCCCAGAGAGCCTGCCCTCCCGTCCACGTCCGGATGGGCCCCTCGTTCCACTGCCCCTCCCCTCCAGCCAGCTGGGAGGCCCCAGCGTACTGCTAAGGAGACGCCAGCGTAGGATGCTGGGAGCAGGAGACAGGGAACAGGTAAGTTGTGATGGGGAGACTAGAAGGAGGGAAGAGAGGCTTTTAGGAGGTGCCCTGGGAGCCAAGGTTAGAAATTTAGAGGACGCTCAGAGGACTAGACCACTCACCCAATAAAGACGCCAGGATGGGGCCATCCACAGGATCCATCAGGAGCGCTTCCTTTTCATAGTATTTGCTAGCAAGAGAGCAAAGAGCATGCAGGTTTGGAAAGTGACCAGCAGGTGGCGCACAATCCACTACGGCCTGGCGGCTAAGAGCAGGCAGCCTGGGTTCAGGCTGCCTCTTGCCAGGGGGTTACCTCTGTAAGCTTCAGCTGCCCCATCTGTAAAATGCGGATAATAATGTATCTCCTGGGGTTGTCGAAGGACTTTCGAGGGAGACAACAGATGTGAGGCGCTTCGTTTAGCACGGTGCTGGGCATGTAACTGCTTAATACATGGCTGTAGCAAAAGCCTTAATGAGGTAGCAGGAATAATCATTATATAAGGCTGCTGAGGCCTGGCCGGTTCTATCTGCTTCTACCACATCTTCCATTTCAGACAGGAAGTCATTTAGAGGCACAGATGATATCAACCCTCCTAATGTTATTGAGGCAATAAAATGCTTTTTAGCTGTGGTTATCCCACAGGCTGTATTAACAGGCCTTCCTGTCCAGATAACTCACACGGGCAATGCTGGGCTGGAACACTCAGAAACACGCCCTGGCTTCCGACTCTTCGAAATCACACGTGAAGCCATCATTAATCAGTACTGCAGCGTTCGGCTGGATGTTTCTGGTTTCTGTATGAGTTGTCGTACTTTGGTTTCTAAGTCTTGGCAAACTTTATACAGTCTAGACAGTGATAGAACTTAGCATTGGAAAGGAGCTGGTTCTGACCTCCTGAGGGATCTCAGCTCAGAGAGGGTAAGTAACTTGCTGGAGGCCACACAGCAAGTGGGTGCGGGCCTGGGCTACAACCAGCTGGCGTGGTTCCTCCCCTCCCGTAGCTGAGGGTCAAAGAGGAAGGATCTAGAGCCGGACCACCTGAATGGAGCCCAGCTCAGCCACTCCCTCCATCCTGGGTGCCTCTGGGCGGGCGACTGGCCTCTCTGAGCTTCAGCACAAAATGGGAAGGAGGACAGAACTGTGGGAGGGTTAAACGTCAGCCTGCACATGCGCAACAGCAGAGGCTCCAACCAGGAGGGTCTCGCTCAGTGGCTGCAGCGCCGCTGTCATTTTACTCGGCTGTCAGATCCAAAGATGATGCTTTGGGACACCTTCCACTCCATGGTTCCGTTTCCCTTCCCAAAGCCAGAGGCTGCGTGACCACACACCTTGCAAATGCTGCCTTAGAAACAGCAGGGAAGGCTGGGAGCAAGACGTTACTACAAGGTACCTGAGGGAGTTTCTTTGGGGGACGGGTTTCATTGAAACCGCCCTTCATCCTGAGTGTGTTGCTTATATGAAGCAATACACACACTGACATTTCACAGAACCGTACGGCAACGAGACACGAATATATGTGAAGACTGGTGAAATCCAAGGAAGGTTTATTGTTAAGGCCACAGTACTGTACTAACGGCAGGTTCTTGCTTTGGGACCTGTACCCTCTGGTTACGTAGAATGTCCCTGAGGGGAGGCAAGAACTCTCTGTACTGATGTTGCAACTTCTGTGAGAGTTTAAAACTCAAAATAAAATGTTTAATGAGGCGACAGGAGGTTGGTATTTCTGCTCAAGTTATTACTAACTCCCTTTGGCGGATTTATTCAGTAGGAGAATACAAGGTCACTCACCAAAAGCAGTGCCTTCAGAGGCCCTGGACCTATAACGGCTCAGGGGGCGGTGACATGTTATGATTCACAAGAAGGTGAAGAGATTAACTGGACCCCCAGAGTCTAGATTTCTTGCAGTTCTTCTCCTGCCCCAGGGCCCTTGCACTCACTGTTCCCCCACCCCCTTCGCCTGGATAATGCCCACACACCCTTCAACTGGGAGCTTAACTGTCATACCTTCCAGGACACTAGGCACAACCACCTGGAGGAGATTAAACACCACCTTTAATCTCCTGTCTGTCTTTATAATTATTATTACTTAAGTGTTTTCTCGGCTACAATGGGAGCATCTTGTGTGGAAGGACCTTGCTTTGTACTTTCACACCTATTTTCCTTGCAAACAGGCAAAGAATAAAAGGTGACAAGACCTACTGTGTGTGAAGATGTAGTTAAACACACTTCCATCTCCCAAAAGATGGGGCAATTCTCAGATATTTCTCTCCCTCTCTGGCTGAGAAGTGCTGGCTGTGAGGAGTCTCAGAGCACACACCACCAGAGGGCGCCCCACTGCTCCTGGCGCAGCATCGCAGGTGAGACCTGTGTACCCAGATGTGAGGTACCCAGTACTGTGTACACAGTATCTATGTACCTGGCTGTGGAATCACAGTTCCACAGGAGGCCCTTGCACACTGAAGGGATGAGTGTGCGGACCAGTGTTTGCCAGGAGGGCTCCTATTAAAACCTTCACGTCAGGTAACTCTGAGCCAGCAGAGAAAACGCAGAGTCCCCCTGCCCTTCCCAGATGCTGGGTGCTGGCCAGCTGCTCTTTCTTTAATTAAAAAAATACATACTTTACTGATTATGCTATTACAGTTGTCCCATTTCCCCCCTTCACTCCCCTCCGCCCTGCACACCCCCTCCCACCCAAGTTGTCCACTTTAGTTCATGTCCATGGGTCACATATATAAGTTCTTTGGCTTCTACATTTCCTATACTATTCGTAACCTCCCCCTGTCTATTTTCTACCATTATGCTACTTATTCTCTGTACCTTTTCCCCCCTCTCTCCCCCCCACTGATAACCCTCCATGTGATCTCCATTTCTGTGATTCCATTCCCATTCTAGGTGTTTGCTTAGTTTGTTTTTTTTAAGGTTCGGTTGTTAATAGCTGTGAGTTTGTTGTCATTCTGCTGTTCATATAGTTGAAATGTGAAAGAGACTTATCTAAGAAAAAGAAGGTAAAAAATATGGCCAACTCCTCATCCTTCTCAGGAGTGGCGGCAATCCCTATCCTATTCACCAAAAGAGAAAACAGGCACAGACAAACTGAGTGATTTCCCTCTGGCCTCAAAGTTAGTGAAGAAATTCAAGACCCTCATACCCCATTCCAGATGCGAAGACCCTCCACTGCTATTAAGCAACGGAATATTCCCAAGGATCTAAGCTAGGCTAGTTCAGATTCAAATATTCAGGTGCAAGGGGGTGCAATTCCCAAGACTGCCAGCAGGTGGAGGCAGAGTGCGCCCAGCTCACCTGCTGTTTTCCACAAGGTAATGCACAATTTTGTCCAGGACCTTCTCAAACAAGGCCGTGCGGATCCACAGGTGCTTGATGGCGAGTGGTGACAGGTTGGGCAGTTTGGGCAGCTTCCGTACATTCTCCTGGAGGCCCTGGATCTGGTTTCGCCTTTGAGATCAGTAAAGGAAAAAAGATATTCACAAAACGAAAAATCCAACAAGAGCAACATGCCAATGAAAAAAACGGTCAACCTCTCTAGGAAATAAAGAAGTGGCAACTAAAACAAACTATGTTGCTCCTGGTAAATGGAAAAACAGTTGAAAAAAATAATACCCAGTGAGCGTGAAGGTGTGGTGAAACGGACACTTGCATACACAGCGGGTGGGTAAGACAGAATCCCATACTGATATTTCTCTCAATACCTACCGATCTATTTATCTGCTGGAAAGGAGTGCTGGCCATGGAGATTCTTGGACTATTGATCCCTCAGTGGCTCCTGACTGCCCTTGAGACGACAGGCAGGGCGCTCCGGGACCTTTCTCCTGTTCACCTCTCCTTGCACCCCACCACTCTCCTTTCTGACCCTGTGATCCAGCCCAGCGTAGGTTTCTGTGGACTCCCAAGGCCATCATCAGGCTCCCATCTGAGGACTTTCCCCAGCTGCTGCTTCTTCCTGCCTCCCCTCCCCAGCCCACACTCACTCTTTAGGTCTGAGCGAGGGCATCCCCTCCTGCAGGAAGCCCTCTTAGACCAGCCAGAGCTGGGGGAGGGGCCCCTCCCCTGTGCCCTTCGGACTCTGAAGCACAACTTCCTGATCACCTTTCTGTCTTCCCCTCCACATGTGACCTTAAGGGCACAGACTAAGTGTTCCAATTGTTTTTTAAAATATAATGCTTCCCGAGAGTCCACCAGAGGGCAGGCATGGTTCCTCTTCCTGCCTCCTGGGGCCGGGCACAGTGCCTGGCATACAGGAGGGGCTCAGTGCACATGTGCATAAATGAGCGACGGCATGAACGACGATGGCTCTCCTGTCCCCCCCAGCACAGATATCTCTAATGCCTCCATTAACAAGTCACTCCCGATATTATGCAAGGCCCATGGAAACCCACCCCTTTAAGAACTTATCAGCGACACCTGGGAATTTAGCAGATGGACTGGAAGGCAGCTTGAGGACCAGGTGGCTGAGAATGCAGATACCAAGTGGGGGCTGGCGATGGCCAGTCCACAGCCCTGCCCATCATGCAGTTCTGGCCAGCAGCCCTGGGTAGGCAGGGCTTGAAGGAGGAGGAAAGGGCCGTTTCTCATCCAGTGAAGGGGGTGATCACCCATGGCAGACAGGGCAAACACACGGCATGCACAACTGTCCCTTTCCTTGCCCGTAACAGACATGGTTAGTCAATCCATGCACTCTTTCTCCAGAAGCCCAATCACAGCTTCTGAATTTTCACAACACCGTTCTCTAGACAGCCACTGACACGCACTGGAGCTGAGACCTGTCTGCCATCCCTGAGCAGGCTCCGGGGGGGGGGACTGGCCGTGTGGTCAGGACTCTGGAGGGAGGTGCTTATGGACACACACTCAGGCCACAAGCCTCCCCCAACACACACAATCAGCCCCGAAGATTAGGGAGCGGAGCCTCCCCCCACCAAGGGGCTGCCGTGGCATGCTTCCACGGGAGCCCCGAGCAAACAGAGGCCGCGCTTGCTCTACGACAGTCTGGTCGTGCTGCCCACAGAGCAGGGCTTGGCTCACAGCAGGCGCTCATTCATTCAACACTCCTTCCCCGGGCATTTACCAGGTGCTAGGCTCTCCCTGATGCTGGGGACACAATGGGGAGTAACACAAACGTAGTCACCTGTCTTCATGGAATTCAGTCCAAAAGGGGAGATAGACAATAGTCAAATAAATAGCAAACGAACAAATGAATAATTGCAGATGGTGGTAATCACTGGGAAGAAAATAAACGAGGTGGTATGAGAGATGCGAGGTGAGGGCTGGAATGTACCCCCATGTAGGGGAAGGCCTGGGTGATGACAAGGAACCAGCCATGGAAGATGAGGGATGTACATCAGGCAGAGGACACAGCATGAGCAAAGGCCCTGGGGCAGGACTAAGGAGCAGGAAGGCCTGGCCTCACAGAGCCTGGGAAGGAGCATGGCCTGCGGGGGGCGCTGCCCCAGCCTACCCCCTCTCTGCACTCACGCGTTCTCGATCAGCTGCTCAAGGTCCTGGACCTTGCGGCTCAGCTCCTCGGCGGGTGGGAAGGTCTTGCCCACCTTCATGAAGAGAGCCGCGATCTTGTTGCTGCGCAGGAAGCCAGCCGCCCGCCGCCGCAGCCCGTGCAGGACGCAGGCCTCCACAGCCGCTGCGGGGACACAGTGGTCAGCAGGCCCTGTCCTGCCCACTCTCCCCACCATGCAGCTGGGCTGGAGTTCCAGTCACTCAGGCACCTCGGAGAGGGGGGGCCGCCCCAAATCACAGCCTTGTGATGACATCACAGGGGAAACGTGTGCCTCTCCACCTTCCACCCCGGAGAAGGCGGGGAGAAAGTTCCTCTCCCACACGGCATACTGGGAGCTCACTCTGGTCAACGTTTAAGGGACACAGTGAGTACACGTACGAGTTCCTTCGTACTGGGCCCCTGTGGGGAGTCAGACCAGCATTCAGGCTTGTCTTACCTAACCCCCGTGACAGAGCCCAGGATGCAAGATTTCTACTTAGCGTCATCTCACAGAACGGTGCGCCAGCGAGAGCCCAGCCAAGGTCACGTGGCGTGTAAGAGAAACGCTGGGAAGTTCTGGTTTAACTCTGTGTCTTAGTTTTCTGCTAGCAACGACGTCATTCTGAATGCAGTGTCCACCTGCTGCCCAGCGGCCCATGGACTTCAAATATTCCGGGTGAGGATCTCTTAAATATCTTCATTTTTTGCATACATACCCATCATCGTTCATTGGTTTGTGTGACAGTAAGTTAACCAACTATTTGGGCTTTGTACACAAGGTCTGATTCTGCTGACGGCTCATGGGGACAATGGACACAGGGAACCCAGGGAGGCCAGTCAGGCCCCATTCAGGGCCACAGCGTCTCTCTGCCCCAACAACTCCGATCGGAGTTGGCTCTTTCTATTGCTGTAGGTCTTTAACCGACAGGTATGTTAGCGATTCCTGAAATGAATATGCATACCACTGGCACATAGAACTGTCCAGGTGAAAAAAGAGCTGAGCGTATATGTACCCCATACATATTTATGTGCGCTCTACTTATGAAGAGTTTAAATATAAGTAGAGCATATGTATTTATGCTCTACTTATATTTTAAATGTGTGTATGTATATATAGCACACTATTGTCATATATGTGTGTACACATATATATTTGTATGTATCTATATATCTACATATGCACACACACATATATATTTAAATAAACATTTCACTTTAAAGAACAAGACCTTGCCAAGTCCACTGACAAAGAAGTGGCAGAGGCAGGATTTAAACCCAGGTCGGCCTGGCTGCAAAGGGGCTAAACTGACCCCAGTGGGCTCCCAGGTCACGGTGTGCGCTCAGCCTGTCACTGGCCCATGGGTGGCGGCCCCAGCCATCTGGATGGAAGCTGATGGGCCTCTCCACTCGGCCAAGACCACCAGAGGGAAGTTACAGCATGCCCTTCGTTATGAGACACTGCGGTCACAAATAAATTAATAGCTTTTGGGGAGAAAAATGGAACTTGCCCACTTATACACAGACACTGATTATGAGCCGAATCCTGACTTCAGGGACATGCAGAACACGGGTCTCTCTCGCCACTAGGAGCATGCAGCCAGACCCTGGCAGTGTGGTCGTTTCTGCCCTTGAAAGCGCAGCAGGTTCAAGGACAGGAGTCCGAGTCACTCTGGGCCTCAGTCCTGCCTCCTTTGCTGACCCAGCAGGACACGTCCCTCGGGGTATGTGGACAGCTCTGACTTAACTCCATTTCGGTTTCTTTTTCTTAAGTCCTTGTCCCTCTCTTCCTTCACTCGGCAACAGCCACGGCAGAGTGAAGAGAGGACCCACGAAAGGACGGTCGGGGGGCTGGGGGGGCCATTTCCCAGACACAAGACCACTGTCGCCAGGGCGGGGCCCGTGTGAGCTGAGCCCCAGGAGGGGGAGTCAGGCCTCCCCTGCCACCCAGGGTGACCCGGTCAGGGGTACAGAGGTCACGTGTCACTTCTCCTCCAGGCTTTTCTGTGTTTCCCAGCTCCCTAAGGAGTCTCCTTTGGAATCTGAAAATAACTTCAGTTACAAAGAAGAAAAGGGGCGTGAGGACCCTCATTCAGACACGCCACTCCCCGAGGGCAGCCCCCAGAGGAAGAAGCCACTTTTCGAGGCCACGGGCCACGGACTCACCACAGAAGGAGATGATGTGGCTGCTGTCCTCGTGGACGAACTTGCGTGTGACGGCCTCCTCCATGATCTGCTTCACCTGGAAGGCAGAGGCGGCTGGAGGGACGCGCCCGGGCTGTCACACGCCCACACCGCTTCCCTCCTGCTCCCCTTCCACCAGGTCCCCGTGGGCCCAAGGCCCGCGGTCTGAGAGAGCTCCATGCTCCACCTTTTCCTGGTTATTCTTTCAGGCTCTTCACACGACACGCTTCTCAGGTGTCACACAGAATGTCACCTCCTCCCCAATCACATTATCTAAGGCAGCCCTCCCCCCGCCCACCCCCTCCCACCCCGTCACAGTCTCCGTTACAGAATACCTACATATTCCCCTCCTACGTGGCTCTTTACTGCCTGCCTCCCCCTTCTAGAACACACTCCCTGAGGGCAAGACCTCGTCTGCCTGGTTCGCTGTATCCATGGAGCCTAGAACAGCGCCTGGTGCATACTAAGTGCTTGGTAAGTATTTCCTAAGCGAGTGGATTCGGCCCCGAGTGGAGACGGAACTCCCACCCGTCTGACTACTACAGGCGGTCACCTAGCAAACACTTCTCCAGCACCTCTGACGTGCCGGACACGGGGACCAGGTCCTGAGAGGCAGTGTGCCCCTGCTCACGGAGGTGACTCTATGGTGGCCTGAATACCTTCCTGGTCTGGTGGGGCTTTAGCGAAGTTGTCTCTTCTCTGGGCCTCAGTTTCCCCACCTTGAGGCTGAGGAGGCGAGAAGAGACCATCTCAGAGCTGGTCCCAGCTCTACACCACTGGGGCTGTGACGTGGGGTGACGGGAGCCGGGCCGGAACCCCCACCCCCACTGCCACCCCAACAGGCCCCTTCCCCCTTCCCGGATGCTCTCCGGCCCACCCAGACCCAGCTGGGCCGCTCGCAATGCCCCCACGTGACAGCATCCTCAGGCTCCCCACGCCTCTCCCCCTCCCTTCTGCCTCTGCCCCTTCCTGGTGCGGAGACGGGCCTCAGAGCATCCCTGGCCGCATCCCCAGAGAAACACGTGACAGTGCCCACCCCAGACCAGGCGCACCAGCTCCGCTGCACCCAACCAAGCCAGCCCCCTCCCGTGAACGAGATCGAAGCCGGGCTTGGCCAACAGCATCTCTAAGCCCAAAATCTATCCAGCCAGGCCGGTGGAGTTGGCCCTATTTACAGATACGGACACTGAGGCTCGGGGAGGCAACCTGGCCCACCCAGGTCCACACAGCCAGGAGTGGCAGAGCTGGAATTCCAACTTACACATCTTCCATCTCGGCTCCAGCTGCCATTCCCTGGCCCCTCTAGCTACTGGCTGTGTTCTTCAGGCACGTCCTATCACCTCTCGAACCTCGGTTTTCCTACCGGGTGAAGGGCTGATGGGAGTGGGACCTGTCCCAACGGGCTGTGGAGGACTGAACAAGGGAATGCAAACCAGGCGCTGGGCAGAGCCCGGCACATGGCGTGTTCTCAACAAATGTTGGCTGCACGCACAGGTCGCCTGTCTAGAACCCCACCTGGCGTTCTTCATGGCTATCCTGGCCTTGGCTGAAACATCACCTGCACGAGAGACTCGACACCCCTGCTCACATTCCCACCGAGGCTGCTTTTATGACACCCATCAGACAAGGCCACCAGCACCCGCCCTCCCTGCTAGGCTGCGGGCCCCACCAGGGCGAGCGCCCTGTCCCCCCGTTTTACAGCTACGCCTCTGGCACACTGTGGGTGCTCGATAAAGTTCTCTCTGAGGAGTGAATAGCTTGAAGGATCGAGATCAAATTCTGCCCTGGTAAAATATTTTGGCTGGAGAACGCTTTCTCGGCACCACGGCTGTGGGTAAAGAGAGTAGCAGCAGCATCACACCTGTCTGTCCAGGGAGAGGGCGGAGGACACGAGAGGTGGCCCAGCCGGCCCAGGGTCACAGGGCCCGTGGGGTGTGGGCCCAGGTTTGTCTGACTCCAGGGGCTGAGCTCCTCCAGCAAATGCAAATGCGGTTTTGCCCACATGGTCTCAGAGCCTTTGCCCACCTCTCCCCCTCCCCCAAATCCCCCGAATACTACTCCCCGCCCCCTTCCTTTGCTCCTGAGGAAGGACGCAGTGATGCTGGGCTATGACCTGGTGTCTGAGAACCTGCCAGAAAGGGCCTGCTGGGTACCCCAACCTGTGCACCCCTGGAAACAGAGCGGCAGAGGGGGCAAGTTCAGGGGGAACAGTGGGCTACGTGGAGGCACAGTGAGGGCGGGTGGTATCCGGGCACCTGGGCTGGGAGGATTTTCAGGGAACCTGGGTCACCTGGCTCTGACTTTGCCAACCACTTCCTATGGGGGCCTGTCAGGGGCAGGGGGTTCTCAAAGGTCAAGATGGTCAGGGGGCTTCTACCCCCCGCCTGGCATCCATTCTGAGGGACTCCAACAGCAGCTTGCATCCCTCCCACAGTGGGGCTCTCACTCCTTTCGGAATTGGACGAGCTGCAAGGACAGGATGTCGGGAGGCAGCAGAGAGGTGCTAAGAGCCCGGAGTGCAGAGTGGCTGACCTGGGTTTAACCCTTGGCCATCCGCTGCCTGCCTGGGGCTGGACCAGTTGCCCATCTGTGAAACACAGTGGGTGGTGTCAGCAGCCCAGCCTCACAGGCCCAGTGGGGGCATGAACGAGATCTTGGAGTGCACCGGCACCCAGCGGGAAGCCCTACACAGTAGAGGCTCTTGCGCTGACCTTGACCTTAGCTGTTTAGCCGGCAGTGTTTGCTCCAAATCCGCCCACCCCCTCACCTCTGGGGCGGGGCTGGCCTGGCCCCCCCACACCCCAGACCTCTGAGTACCTGCCCACCCCACCTCAGGCCCCACCCTGCAAACCTTCGGGGAACCAGCTCCAGCCATCCCTCGCTCTACCTGCAAATATTTAAACAGCATAAAAGGAGGATTAATCTCAGGAGGGAGTCAGGCAGGGAAATCCTGGCCAGTGAGTAGAGTGGGAAGGGGGGACTCTTGGGGCTTCCAGGTCTGCCCTGTCCAGTCCTCTCCTCACATCTGCCACCTGCACACCTGGGACCCTGCCAGGTTCCAAATCAACTTGCTGCTCCTCCCTGCCCCCCTCCCACACTGCATGTGTCCATGTCCCCTAAACCGAGGGAGGAAATAACATGACCCAGTGCTCAGGGCCATGGTAAGGATTACGGGAAATATGGGCAGAGGGCCCTGTGTGAAGGGGGACGTGAGTGCACGAAGAACGGGAAGGCCGGGCCCCGGTCAAACTCCAGCTCTGCATTAGCTGGGTGACTTCGGGACTCAGTTCCTTCATCTGTGAAATGGGGACGGCGCCTGCATCACCTGTCAGGGCTGCTCCGTGAGAGTGCCATAAACATACGCACCAGGCGCAGACACGGGGCCAGGGCCCAGACCGCCCCGCCCATAATAGAGCGTCTGGCTTGACGCTCATCCTTGGAACTGACCACGGCCGACTTCCACTCCTCACCGGTGGGTCTGTGCATCTCGTGTCTGTCTGCGCTGCGGAAGCAACCCGTTTGGGGGCCACTCTGAGTAAACTAATGATACCAGCACCGACAGCAATGCCCACCGCACGCGCGGTTCCAGGCAGCGGCCTAGCCCCCCTAACACCCGATCTCGTCTGCTCTGCGTGTAAGGCTGGGTCGGCCAACTTTTCTGTGAAGGGGCAGATGGCCGCCACTTCGGGCTGTGAGTGAGGGTTGCCAGACTGAACACAGCAGGCCCAGCGAAACCTAAATTCCGGATACTTTTTGTAGTGTAAGTATGGACCAAATGTTGAAACAAACACACACGAAGAGATTACTTCCTGCTTTTCTCAAAGTCAAGTTTAACGGGGCATTCGGAATTCTCATTTGCTACATAAACGTGGCCAACCTATTTCCGGGCCACATACAGCGTACATTGCATAGTCTTGTCTTCACGATGCTTTAGGAACGGAAACTCCATTCTTGGCTTGGGGGCCGTACTCAGACTGGCTGGGTCTGGCCCCCGAGGCCCCCGGGTCTGCAGCATCGGGCTCAGGGCCTGTGGTGCACAGCAGCCCTAAATGAACGTCGCCGCAGCTGCCACCTGCCCCCCAGCGGCCTGCTGCCTCAGTCCTGACTCAGAACGCCCCCGTCCCACCTGGGGTCTCAGGGGTGAGTCACGCTGAACCAGTAAGGGCGGCCCCCAGGCACCCTGAGGCTCACATTTGTAAGAAACTTGGCAGTGGTGGGGACGGTTAAATTAGGATGCCTGGAGCACCTTGGGTGGCTTTAAAAATAACTCTCAGCAAGTAAGGAAAGTGGGAGAAGAGAGGGATGACGCAAAGGCCCCTTGCCAACCATCGGGGCAGGGGGGTGAGCCGAGGACGGCCATGCCCGCTGCTGAGAACAAAACGAGCAGGCCCCCCCGGGGGCCAGCAGCTTGAGCCCCACTTTGAATCCCTGACCCTTGAACACGGGCCCCAAAGGGGCTGCCACGGGCTCACCCCCTTGCCTCTGTCACATGGTACCTTCTACCAGGGGCCCCTCCAAGTGTGTTCCAGCCGGCTAACCACAACTCAGGCTTCAGCCAGGTGTCACCTCTTCCTAGGAGCCCTCCTGGACTACCCATGGCCCAGGCAGGAGTAAGTGTGCCTCTCCCACATTCCTCTGTAACACCTGCCCTCCCAGCATTCATCACATGAACCACAACTGTCGCTCACTAACATGTGTCAGCACCTCCTCTGTGCCTGGCTCCAGGTGGCAATCAGATAGTGTCCCTGTCCTCATGGGGGTCACAGTCCAGCAAAATCTAAAGGCATTAAGTAACTCACATGAGTGGTTAATATCTGCAAAATGAGACCAGTTCTCTGCAGCCAAAGAACTTGGTTCTGTGAAAACAAGCAACAATGAAACCGGTGGGTAGGGAGATCATGGGGGGCTTCCTGGAGGTGGTGATGCTCCGGATCTGAAGTAGAAATGAACTCTCTGGGTCTCGGGTTCCCCACGTCTAGAGCAGAGGGGAAAACTGTCCCCTGCACCTGCCCCCGTGGAACTGCCTTGGAGCTCACAGGAAGGAACAGATGCAAGGAC